TAAGTAAAACAAAATGACAACCTATGGAATGGGAGAAAATTTTTGCAAACGATGAAACCGACAAAGGCTTGATCTCCAGAATATATAAGCAGCTCATATGACATAATGAGAAAAAAACAAACAACCCAAACCAAAAATGGGCAGAAGACCTAAACAAGCAATTCTCCAAGGAAGAAATACAAATATCAATAGGCACATGAAAAAATGCTCAATACCACTAATTATCAGAGAAATGCAAATCAAAACTACAATAAGGTATCACCTCACACCAGTCAGAATGGCCATCATTCAAAATTCCACAAATGACAAATGCTGGAGAGGCTGTGGAGAAAAGGGAACCCTCCTACACTGCTGGTGGGAATGCAGTTTAGTGCAGCCACTGTGGAAAACAGTATGGAGATTCCTCAAACGACTAGGAATAGACTCACCATATGACCAGGAATCCCGCTCCTGGGCTTATATCCAGAAGGAACCTTACTTCAAAAAGACACCTGCACCCCAATGTTCATAGCAGCACTATTTACAATAGCCAAAACATGGAAACAGCCTAAATGTCCATCGACAGATGACTGGATAAAAAAGATGTGGTATATTTATACAATGGAACACTACTCAGCCATAAAAACCGACAACATAATGCCATTTGCAGCAACATGGATGCTCCTGGAGAATGTCATTCTAAGTGAAGTAAGCCAGAATGAGAAAGAAAAATACCCTATGAGAGTGCTCATATGTGGAATCTAAAAAAATTTTTTAAATGAACATAAATACAAAACAGAAACAGACTCACAGACATGAAATAAAACTTGTGGTTGCCAAGGGGGTGGGGGATGGGAAGGGACAGATTGGGATTTCAAAATTTGTAGATACTGACAGGCATATGCAGAATAGATAAACAAGATTATACTGTATAGCACAGGGAAATATATACAAGATCTTGTGGTAGCTCACAGCAAAAAAAAAATGTGACAATGAATATATGTATGTTCATGTATAACTGAAAAATTGTGCTCTACACTGGAATTTGACACAACATTGTAAAATGACTATAACTCAATAAAAAATGTTTAAAAAAACCTTAAAACTTCTGCTCTTTGGAAGACAAAAATTAAGAAATGAAAAGGTAGGCAAGAGACTGAGAGAAAATATCTACAATACATATATCTAACAAAGGATTTTCCTCATACAAAATTCAATAATAAGAAAACAAACAATCCCTTAAAATGTGAAATGACATAAACAGGCACTTTACCAAAAAAGATTTACAAGTGGTCAATAAGCACACAAAAGATGCTTAACATCATTAGTCACCAGGGAAATACATGTTAAAACCACAGTGATATACCACTACATACCCACTAGAATGGCTAAAGTTAAAAAGATTCACAAATGATGGAGATACATTTTGTTGGTGGGAATGTAAAATGGCACAACCGTTATGGAAAACAGCTGGCAGTTAAACATGTACCTACCATATGACCCAGTAATTTCACCCCTAGGAATTTACCTGAAAGAAATGAAAATCTATATCCACAAAGATTTATGTATGATTGTGTTTGGCAGCTATATTAATGATAAAAACTGGAAATGACCCAAATGTCAACAGATGAAACAAACTGCACTGGATCCATAGAATGAGCCACAAGACAGAAATAAAAAGGAGCAAACTATTGATATATGTATCAATATGGATGAACCTCAAAACATTATGTGAAATGAAAGAAACCAGATACAAAGGAGTTTATATAGTATATAATTTACTATACTTTTTATATGAAACTCTAGAAGACTCAAAGTTAATTTACATACTGGCATATTTTATGTACATACATATATATATATTTTAATTTAAACCACATTAAAATAATGAAAAAAATCTGCAATGATATAAAGCAAACAAGTGGTTTCCTGGGACCTGGAGTTGACTACAAAGGGGCATGACTTTCGGGGGTGACAGAAATGTTCTGTAGCTTCATTATGGAAATGGTTATATGGACACATTTTACTTGTCAAAATTCATCAAAGTACACCTAAAATAGGCATATCTTACTGTTTGAAAATCATACCTCAGTAAAATTGATTTAAAAAGTAAAAACACATACACACACAAAACTTTAATTACAAAGGCAGGAGGAAAAAAAGTCTGGGAAACAAAGTACATGAAGTTCCAGTTATAAGCACATTGAAAACTAGTCATTTCAATCTTCTGTTCAAAGGTCCTACTGTGATGTCAGTGTATTAATTTAATACTGCTGCATGATAATTATCACCATCTTAGATGTTTAAAACAACACAAACTTATTGGTTCTCTGTGGATCAGGAGTCTAGGCTGAGTTCTTTGCTCAGGGTCTTACCTGAAATCAAGGTGTCAGCCAGGATGGGATCTCCTCTGAGGTTTGGGTTCCCCTTCCATGCTCAGTCAGGTCATTGGCAGAATTTGTTTTCTTTCTGGCTCTCAGCTGTTAAAGGCTACCCTCAGTTCCCAGTCCTGTGGCTCTCTCACAACTTGGAGACTATTTCATCAAAGTCAGTAGGGAAATCACATTTAAAGACTCACCTGATAAGGTCAGGCCCACCAAGAATAGTCTCCCTTCTGACTAATTCAAAGGGCATTAAATCACATCTGCAAACTCTTTCACTTTTGTCATATAACATAATCTAACCACAGAACTAATATCCTACCATATTCGTAGATTCTTCCACATTCAAGGGGAGGGGATTACATAAGGTACACCATGGGTGGGAATCTTAGAAGCCACCTAGAATGGCCCTCAACAATTCATGCCTCTTCCAAAGGAAAAAAAATTCTTCACTCCCTCCCAAGGTTCCCCTCTCACCACATTATAGCATCAAGTCAAAATTCAAGATCTCATCATCTAAATTATTTATATCTGAGCAAAGGAGATTCCTGACAATAATCCATTAAATGCAGTTCCCTGAAGCACAATTCCCCTTGGTGAGCTATGAAACTGAAGACACCAGTGTTCCCAGCACTCCCATCATCCAATGGTGGGAGAGGCATAGGAGAACAGTTAGAGTTCAAAACGGGAGAAATAGAAAGTACAAATCACTGACTATAACAATTCTGACATCTGGGCAAATGTTCGAACTTTACTGATTAAGTTATGAGATCTGGGAATAATCTCCCAAGGCTCTCATCGCTGCCCTCTGGGCTTCTGGTTCTATCCTCAGAGTCATCCCTCCTTTTTCATGATATGTAGCGCATGCTTGCAGGTAGGTAATTTTATCAGCCTTCCTCCTGCCAGTAGAATTTTGCTGGGTCTAATAACCTCTGCTATTTGTCACAGGAGCATACCAGTCCTGATATCAATAATTGTCTTAGTTTTCTATTGCTGCATATAACAAATGACCACAGCTTAAAACAAGACATTTATTATCTCCTTGTTTCTATAGATCAGAAGTCCAAATATGGCTTACCTTGCTTTTCTGCTTAGGGTGACAACCAGGCTGCAATCCAGACATTTCCTGGGGCTAAGACTTCATCAGAAGTTTTAATGGGGAAAGAGCTGCTTCCAAGCTAATTTAGGTTGTTGGGAGATTTCAGGTCCTTGCACCTATACAGCTTGAGGCTGCTGGCCTAAAGGTGGTATCATAGCAGGTAGCCTCTTTGAGGTAAGCCGGAGAGTCTCTTGATCCAGTCAGCTGAGATGTAGTCTTACATAATATAATCATGGGAATGATTTCCTACCACTTTTACACCCCATCCCCTTTGTTATCTTCTATCAGCTAGATGCAAATCACAGGTTCTGCTCACATCCAAAGGAAAGGATAATACAAGGGCATGACTCATTGGGAGCCACTTTAGGATGTGCCCACCACATATTCCTTTTTCTCTGTTACCTTCTTCAACCTGAGAAAAATTCCTCATGCTTTTCATGTTAATATCCCCAGTATTTGGCACAGGGCCTGACACATAGGAGCACCAGATAATTTAAGGCCTGTTGTGTAACGTTTGATGTCAGGACTCCTTTATACTCTTAAAAACATCACTGAGGAACTGAAAGAGTTTTACTTATACGGGTTCTATCTAGGGACACTGAGACGTTTAAAAATTCACTTAATTCATGAAAAATTAAATATAACTTCATTATATATTAACATATATTACATCTTTTAAATTATATTTTTTTAAAATTTGTGAGAAGAGTAAGATTGTTTTACAGTTTTGAAAACTGTTTTAATGTCCAGCTTAAAATTAAGACAGCTGTTTTCCCATATCTCTTCCACATTCAATTCCACATCATATGGCCTCTGAAAAATTCCTCCTTATATTCAAGGATTGATTGAGAGTTCAAAAGGCACATAATGTTGTTATGAATACATTTTGACCTTGTAGGCACCCTGCTAGGATCTTGAGGACCTCTTGGAGTCCCCAGAGCACACCTGGAACCACTGATTTAGAGAAATGTCAAGAATTGAGGGAAGGATGGCACTGATTCATTCAAAAAGTACTTACTGAGTGCCAGTTCTGTGCTGGGCTCTGTCCAAAGGGAACTCCATCAGGCCCTGTCCTCAGGGTACTCACAGTAGGCTGGCAGAAGATAGATCAAGGACAGCTTCAGTTCACTTCAGAGCTGAGAGCTAAGTGACAAAGGGCCAGCCATGCGGAGATGTGGAGAAACAGAGTTCCAGACAGAGAAAGGGGGCCTCCAAAGGCTCTGAGCCCCGGCTGGTGGAGAGCAAGTAGAAGGCTCGAGGTCCGCATGAGGTGGACTGGGCGGAATGGGGCCGGGCCAGATGAGGAATTTAGAGCTTCAAGTCTAAATTCTTGACGGTGTAAAGAAACGGGGGGAGTGGGTGGGACGGCTTAAGGGTGCATGTCTGGTGGCGAGGAAGGTCACTCAGAAGTCAGGCACACGCTCCTGGACGAAGCCCAGCTTGGCTTCTCTGAGGCGCGGAACTCTGAGCCTCAAATCCGCTTAACGACGCGTCGGAACTGGGAAAGCGCGCACATTACCTCGAGGAACTTTGGGCCTCGGCGCCTGCCGTAGACGTCGTGACAGAGGCGGTTCGTTGCCTCGGAGCCGGCGAGACGCCCCTCAGCCTCTGCCACTGTGGAGAACGCTGGCCGCGGGCTTCGGTCACCATGTCGGTGCTGGACGCGCTTTGGGAGGACCGGGATGTCCGCTTCGACGTGTCCTCGCAGTGAGTCGTCAGGATTCCCCAGGGGCCTGGAGCCTGTAGAGGGCGCCGCACCGCGGTTTCCGGGCCCGCGGGCGGAGCCTGCGACCCCGCGGCTCACGGCCCTCGCGAGGGTGGGAGGAGGTTGGCGCCTGGCGTCCGCCTCTCGGGAGACCCCAGGCTGGCCGGAGCCCTGCGGCCCTTCCGAGGCCGACGCCGCAGCCAGGCGCGTCTAGATTGTACACAGTTTGGGTCCCGTGCCATCCCCGGCCCCAGGAGTCTCGCCGTGGGGGACCTATCAGGAAGCGGAGCCCAAACAGGGCAGGGGCCACCTAGCTCTTGGGCGTCCCGTACAGCCTAGTGAACTTGGGGTGCCAGATTTTTGTGGTGGAACGAATTTGGTTCAGGGACTTAGGAAACGAGGATTCTGAAACTAGATTTGGAATAAGGACACACATTGTGGGCCCTTAGAAGAATAACTTAAGCTTTCTAAGCTTGAATCTCCTCTCTTGTAAAAGCAGAGAAGTGGGAGTAAGCATTCTCCAAAATTCCTAACAATGCAAACTGTATTTCCATGGTAAGCTTTCATCTAACCTTCGCCAAGAAGAAGGAGCCCCCTTTTAGAGCCTCTCAAACAGAAGTCTTGTTTTTTGGAAATTTTCATGTCTTAAAGAGAGAATAGTTAGAAACCTTTCCCCAGAAGTTCAAGGGAAAAAAAAATGCCTATTTGGGTATTAAGTGTTGGAAAACAGTAAAGCTAAGGTTCTTGAGCTAATGGTTTAGAGCTTCTTAGCCACTTCTCATGATTCTTTATTACGAACAGAATTTTCTTAGGTGGAAAAATGAAATATTAATTTCCCAGGCTTAATTGTGGCTAGATATCTAACACTAACGTGGTCTTAGATGCTTTAAGACATTGTGAGGGTATTTATAAAATTATAAGCCCGAGTTACATATTGCAGACATTCTATGACTTTCTGTTATTCTCGGAGAGTTCTTAGTTCAAGCAAAGGTCCATTTCATGAACATTTTCAGTTTGTTAAACATTTATCAAATACTTTCCATGTGCTGGTTACTGTGCTGATAGCTAAAGATACAAAAATAATAAGAAATGGCAACCCGCCCCCCCCCCCATTCTATTGCAGAAGATACACGTGGACAACTATTTAAAATGTAAATACCATCCTGGAAAAAATGAACAAAAAGCTAGGGGACCATAGAAGCAGAAAAGTTCATTTTGCCTGAGGAATGCCCTCAAAGAAACAATATTTGAGTTAAGCCCTGACAAATGTGCAGTGCCTTGCCAGTAGACAGGAGGAGCCTATTCCAGAATAAAGAAAAGGAGGGGGGTAAAAATTAGAGGCAGAGTCTTGGAGATATAAATCTCATTGGCTAGAAGGCAGAGTCTGGCAGGTAGAGGATGGAGGTGCAAATAAAAAGGGAGATTAGCCAGATTGTGAAATATTCAGTTGAGGATTTTGGACTTCATCTTCTAGGCAGTGGGATGCCATGGAAAACTTTTAAGCAGGGAAATCATATGATTGTATATGTATTTTCAATAGGTTATTGAGTTGGCTTTATTGAGAATATTAGAAGTCTCTACCACATATTCTGCTAGGTTCTTCTTTCTTTTGACACTCTGGAATGCATTCTATCAGTCAGCAACCTGTTCTTCATTAATTTTCTTTTGTCTCCTTTATCTGATCGTTTAGCAAGTCCTAATGTTGCTTTGCTTTAATCTGTTCCTTCCGTAGCTGCATAACTCCTTTCCTCTAGTGAGAAACCTCTGGGGCTTATCCACTGTCCACAGAATAAGGCACATATCTATCTGACTGGCATTCTAGGTTCTCCATAATCTGGCTTCTCCTAATTTACCCAGTTATACTTCTCACTACCTCTCAAGATAGACCTTCTTCCCCGGCCAGGCCAGTCTTGCCACATTTCCTTAAATCTTATTTCTGATCTTTAAGCATGAATTCTCCTCTCTCTCTCTTATTTTTCCAAATTCTACCTTTCCTTTAGTTCTGGCATCTCTGCATATCCCTGGTCACTCCAGGCCCCATTGATCTCTCCAGGTTATTTGTTCTTTTTTTGTCTTTTCATTTGTTTTTTTTTTTATGTTTTTTTATGGAGAGTAGGTAATTAGGTAGGTTGGTTGGTTGGTTGGTTGGTTTTAATGGAGGTACTGGGAATTGAACCCAGGACCTTGTGCGTACTAGGAATGCACTCTACCATTGAGCCATACCCTGCCCACTAAGTTCTTGAAAATCGTATTTTCAAATACCTGAGCATTTGGTACTGCATCATTTATACTGTTGGCTGTTTTATATGCATATGTCTTTTTTCTTCCTAAGTAGATTGTAAGCGTGTGTAGTTGTAGCTATAAAATTAAAGCCTTTATATTTGTTTTAGACAAATGAAAACAAGACCTGGAGAAGTCCTTATTGATTGTTTAGATTCAATTGAAGACACCAAAGGAAATAATGGGGATAGAGGTGAGTATATTTTTTAGTGTATTTTATATTTCTGGTTTAATTTACAAATATTAAATCATATTAGCTAGAGAATAAGATGTGAAACAGCTTTATGTTTAAACATAATTGTGAGAGTGGGAGAGTTAACTCCACACAAGACTTTTCTCAGACTTAAAGGGAAGAAAGGGTAAGCATTAAACCTGTAACCAGGAAATACAGAATGTCCCTCAGAACTTGGGTCCTTTGGTAACTCCTGATTCTAACATCAACTTTACCTCATATAACTGTTAAAACTCCAAGATCCCTGTTTGCAAGGGGCATGGGATAGTTCTGACTTTTGGATCTGCCTTCCCACAAAAAGAATATGGGGTAGTGAAACCTAAGTAGATCATAGCTGTGCTACCTGGAGCCAGGCTTCCTTTTAAGAAATCCAAGAATAATGCACAGTCCCAAGTCTGACACTTGGAGATGGACATGTGGAAAGCAAGTTAGTGCTGTGTTGTGAAGTCTATTTGTAGGTTAAGTACTGAGAAATCTGTGAGATGTCTCTAAATGTTACTGAGGAGCAGCCAGGGCAGTCTCCCCTAAACCAAATTTCCCCAAGGCTGGAACTTTTAAAAGTCCAGGCTGCACACATGGAGCCAGTGACCAGTGAGAAGCAGGTCTTGGAGGCATCACTACTGTTTTTCAAGGAAAAACATAGGGGAGGAGGAGTGAGCAGCTTAGTGTGTCTAAAAGGGTTTTTAAGGGGAAAGGAGGTTTAGGAGGGTGGGACATAATCCTCTTATTAAAGAGGAAAGTGGGGAAAAGGAGCAGACCTAATTCAAGTAAGAAGGATCAGTAAATCCAGAGAAGGAACAGTTACCCTTATTAGCAGAACAGATAAGGCAGTTCAGTAAATACTAGAGATGGAGTGGTAACCCTGATAGGCAGAATGTGTTCCCTGCAGCCCTTTGAGTGGCTGCTTCCTTTTGGAGCCTTTCTTCTGGTCTGCTCTGGGCCGTTATGTGGGCAGCAGATTCAGTTGTGGGCCTTTCTTCTCTGTGAGGGGAACCTGCTACAAGCAGATCCTGTTAATGGCTAGAGCCCATCCTTAAAGGAATGCTTAAATCATATTTCTAAAATGCTTCCCACTGTCAACCAGGCCCAGGTGGGATATGAAGATCTAGCAGCGAACAAGAAATCTTCATCTTTGCCTTTGAGGGTGGAATACTCATCTCTAGATGGCCGGATCTTGACAAAACCTGAATTAACTTAAAGAAGCCAAAGGGAAGTTTGGTTGTTCTCATACAGATTGGCAGGAACTCTTACGTGACAGTTCATCCACCAGTCTAAACAAAGACCATGGGCACTCACTGAATGCAGAATCCTGTATTAGCACTTCGGCGTAGCGGGTGTAAAATACCTCCCTGGCCAGAAATCTCCAGCACAGTTCCTGGAAAGCTTTGTGTGCTGAACCTGTAGGAGAATGAAACAGCCATAATTCAGTGTTTCAGAGATAAGGAGAGACAGGGACAATTATATTTTGGTGTTTAGGAGGACAGAGAGAAATGTCCATGCCTGGAACACTGGGTTTGGAGCTATAGATAGCATGGGGTTCTTCAGCAGAGAAGAGGCAACGTAAAAAGATAGAGAGACTTGTATGGGATACACCAAGAACAGGAAAATCAGGTAAACAGAGTTGGTTAGTATTTTTGTAAAGCAAATTCCACTCCATAATTTTTCTGGAATCTTGTAATAGAAAAATATCAAAAAGAATCCGTAGATGTCCTTGGCTTAGAGCTGAGTCGTATGTTACTTAGGTGAAATGGCATTGGGAAAACACAAATCAGTGTATCTATAGTAATAAAATAAGTCATAAAAATAAGTTTGTAAAGAATTCAGATATTTAAAAAAAATTATAGCAGTTAACACTTAGAATGTTTACTATTTGGCAGTCAATGTTCTGAATCTTTTTTATAATATGTGTAATCTCATTTAATACTAATAAAAATAATAAAAAATGAAGTAGATGCTATTATCTTTTTTTAAAATAAGGAAACTGAGGAATAGAGAGGTTAATTAACTTTTCTAACATCACACAGTTAGTGAATGATGCACCAACTGCCTGCATTGCTTTCTAAACTGCTAGGATCACATTATTCTCTTCTCAGAATGTTTTAGTTCTCCTGATTTCTAGTTCTAAACCGCACCCTAACTCTACTGCCTTCATCGCTAACAGATCTAAGTCTGAATTTCTTGGTCTGGCATTGACGAATGTCCACTTAGTCCACAAACAACCTTTCCTGCTTGTGCTGCTGTCTTCCACTTGTCTCTCCATGTCCAGCACCCTTCTCCACCCTTTCCCCTTTACACTACATCACAGGGCTCCTTTCATGCTGTAGCTTTTGGTTGGAAGAGTCATGGCAGAAGATCAAGTGGGGCAGGAGAGTGAGGTATGGTTCTTTCTTTGCAAAGCATCAGCTCTAGAGGACTCCTGTTCCTTCCAGATTAGGTGAACTGCTTCCCATCCTTGTCCCTCTGGATCTGGGGCGGTAGCAAATCTGCTGCACTCACTTATGGTTCTTGACACCCCACCTATACCATTGTAATACGTCCTTCTGTAAATAAACCTCAGTCATCCTAATTTAAGTGAGCCATGTCTTTTCTGTTTGACCCTGACTGATAGATGCAGTGTCTAGTCTTCTATGATCTTGTGGGAACTTCACATTCTAGCCATGCTGAGTGACTTATTATTTGTCAAACATACCAAGTAATGTTCTGCAGGTTCTCTGGAGAACACCTTCCTTTGTCTTTGGAACCTCCTATCCCATCTTACTCCAGCATTCACACAGGCTTAGTTTTTCTGATTTTAGATATGCTAGGGGTTTTCAGGGAGGAAGGAGTATGACATGGCTATAGATTACTCAACAAAAGAATTCCATGGTTATAATTTGTTGAAGAAATATGTTAAACAAAGTTAAAAGAGTTTTTTAGTTCAGGATATCTCAAAACTATCCTAATATGCTACTTGTATTATAAGTTTGTAAGACACATAGTTAACCATGCACAGATTTACTTGACTTTTTTTTCTTGGAACATCTACAGGGACTACTATTCCACAGGACAGACTTTGAGAAATGAAGTTTATCTAACTTTGTACATATTTCAGTGAAAGAACATCAATTTGAGTCAAAGAATGAAAAACATAAAGCCTTCAACAGATTTCAGCCTAGCTACAACTTTATATCAGGAAAAAATTTGCTCACAGAAAAAAAGATAAGCTGAGTATATAACTATATGGCTCATTTAAGTGAGAATTGCTAAGGGAACGCTCACATGGCAGGGATTCACGTGTATGTGAGAGTTCTTTGAGAAGTGTGATTTCCCTCAGTGGCTTAGTAGTTATACTATCCCATACTCATACTCAGTTGTACACATACAAACCTGCTGGGACTTCTATCGAGGAAAAAAAGAACAGCAGTACAGAGTTTTCTCTGTCGGCTTGAGTCACACCAAGCTGCTGGCAATGAATACCTTTATCTCTTTTGTAACTATCAAAGTTTGTTTCTCTGGGATTCTGAATCATATATTATATGCCTTGCATAGGATAGACATGCACAATAAATACTTTCAATTAAAATATGTATGAGAAACATCTATCGGTGTTGCTGCTGGTACTGGGTCAGAAGTTTCATGTCCATTTCATTCTGTACTGCAAAAGTAGGTCCTTACTTAAGGTAACCTGTTTTTCTGTTTGTTTGCTTTTAGGTAGACTCTTAGTAACAAATTTAAGAATTATCTGGCACTCTTTGGCGTTACCCAGAGTCAATCTTTGTAAGTATCTTTGTTAGAAGCACAAAAGAAAAAAGAATTTGTCAGGTGAACTTACACAGTGGCTCTTAATACAAAAACAAAACAAAATAAAACAGAACAAAAAAATGATATCATGAAATATGTGGAAAATTTAAATTGATAAAAATGTAAGAAAGTCTAGACTGCATCATAATGCAAAAGGAATGTTTTCACAGTATGTCCATTTTGTTTCTTGGACATACATGAGATTAGTGCTTTTACATTGAGTGACTTTTTGTTTTTGTTTCTTGCTTGTCTTTGAAATTTGCTATAACCTGTTTGAAGTAATACAAAGAAGGGAGATCTAAATTCTAATAAAAATACAACTTCTCACTGTGTTAAATTTTATTTCACTGATTTTTTAAAACTACTGAAGATTATCCAGCTAGACTTTTTCTCTTGATGTTGTGGTGCTAAGATTTTTAGTAAATAATACAAAAATATAAAACACTATTAGAGAAGCAAACTTTTTCTCCATGTTATTTATGTTTTTCTGTGTTCAAAAGAGGCAGAATTAACTTCCAAGTCCTTTTAATTATTTAACTTAAATTTGTAGTTATTTCATAAAAATGTTTTAAAGTTGTATTTTTACATATATTCAGTTTTTTAAACTTTAAAGTTCTGTATATATAGATTTTTTCCCCTCATTTTATTGTATGATGTTCTTTAAATTCTTTGCTTTTGAATTTTAGCTATTGGTTACAACTGCATATTGAATATTACAACAAGGACTGCTAATTCTGTAAGTCTGAAAAAATCTTATTGAAATATATATAGTGAAAAAACAGTAGATATTTGAGGTTGATATTTGTTTTCACTGTAAATGAGAAGTTGCTCTTAAAATATGAAGTTTTAAATAAATTTGTCCTTACAGAAATTACGAGGCCAAACTGAAGCTCTTTATATACTAACAAAATGTAACAGTACTCGTTTTGAGTTTATATTTACAAATTTGGTTCCTGGAAGTCCTAGACTTTTTACCTCTGTGATTGCAGTACACAGGTATGGTAATATTTATGGATTTTAAATAATTCTATGATATAAAAGTTTAGAGAATAAAGTTTAGACATGTGGTGCTATCTTCCTCCAAGCTCTATTGCAGATATCCTGAAGATACATGGAAGAACACATTGCATTACCATTTCATAAACACTTTGAAGGTATTTATAAAACACATAATGCTGCTGAAGATTCTATTAAATTCACTACCAAGGTAGTTAACAATGACATAGAGAATTCATTCTATGTAGATAACCAAGTTGGATAATTCAGTTAAGAAATTAAGATTATTTTTCTAACAGTAGAAGGCATGTTTGGGTGATTTCTTTAAAGAGTTTTGTTGTTTTGTGGTTCTTGGTTTTTGTTTGCTTAACTATTCACTTTTTACTACCTCAGCTCTTTTTTTTTTAATCAGCCCTAAGTACTATGATTTTTTCTAAAAGCTTGGCTAAGATGACAGGGAAAATATGTGTATATATTTATGTATTTTTATATATACAAAAATTTATAACCACACAGATAGATATAATATATATACCACTGTTTTAATTTAAATTTCTTTTATTACTAATAATGTTGAAATTTTTTTATTTAGCTATGTATACTATTCTGTTGTAAATTTCTTGATTATGCTCCTATCTGTCATATATGTTGCAAATTTCTTAGTTTCCTAGTTTATTTGATTTTTTAGTTTTGTTGATGATTTTTAAAATCTATATAATGGTTTAATTTTTTTGAGATACAATTTGTATAACATAAAATTTACCATTTTAGCGGGGGAGGGTATAGCTCAAGTGGAAGAACGCATACTTGGCATGCAGGAGGTCCTGGGTTCAATCCCCAGTACCTCCTCAAAATAGAAATAAAAAATTAAACCTAATTAGCTCTCCCTAATAAAAACAAAAACAGAAACAAAAAATTTACCATTTTAAAGTTTACAGTTTGCTAGTGTTAGAATTACAGTTGGTAGTTCACAATGTTTTATCACCATAACCCAATTTTAGAATATTTCCATCACCCCAAAAAGAAACCCCTCCTAGTAGTCACTCCCCATTTCCTCTTCCCCATATCCCCTGGCAACCACTGATTTACTTTCTGTCTCTATGGATTTGCCTATTCTGGGCATTTCATATGAATGAATGAAATCATACAATATAGTGGCATTTTATGTCTGACTTCTTTCACTTATGTAATGTTTTCAAGCATGCTGTGTATTGTAGCATATATCAGTACATCATTCCTTTTTATAGCTGAATAAGATTCTATTGCATGGACACATATTTTGTTTGTCCACTCATCAATTGACAGATATTGGGTTGTTTCCACTTGTTAGCTATTATGAACAATGCTGCCATGAATATTGGTGTGCAAGTTTTTGTGTGGAAACATTTTTTTAGTTCTCTTGGGCATATACCTAATTCTTACCTCTTTATTTCACTTTACTTAGGGAAGTAATATGAAATGGAGTCTGAAGGAAGCAGGGAAGCTGCTTTTCTTTAATAGTATAAAAATGTGTTCTCCCAAACAATTTATAACTTGAATAGTTTCCATTTTTTTCTGCTAGTTAAATATTGATGATTACAGCACTAAAGGAACTTAAAATTTATAGGCAAATGCTCAAATCCTGCTCTTTCACAATTTGTATCTTAAAAGATTAAAGATCAGAAGTTTAACAATGCATATCGTAATTTATATAAATGACTTCTAAAGTTATTCAGGCTAAGAAAACCCTCTAGTTTTATTAAAGGTGAAATAAGTTTATATTTTTGTGGCGTTAAAATTAGAATTAACCAAAAGTTAATCAGAATTTTCTTCTGTTTTTATTATTTATCTATAGGGAGACATGGAAAGAAAACAAATTATCAGGATTTTATTACACACACAGATACGTACACTGTCCTAGGGTCCCTTCTGTAGTTGGTAGAGATTCATTCTAATTTTCTGTACAGAGGTAGATGTGAGCATAATGTTTTTCAGGTTTCAGTGAGAAGAGTAATCTTACTCCTATTTATGTTAGAACAATAACAGTGGCCTTTGAATGAAACAGAATAAAAGGGAAGCTTTTTGATAGAAAAAGTAATTTCCATGCCTATTTTTACAAGCATTGTTTTTCAGCTTAAAGAAAAGATCTGTTTCCTCTCATTTGTGCCATACTATATATATTGCCAAAATTACACATCTGAAAAATAGGTTACTGAGATGAAATGTGTAAATACTATGCTGAAATGACAAAAAACACGTACGAAAGATGATAATTACCAGAATTTATTGAAAAGAGAAAAATTTTAATTTACCTTAGTAACTATTTGAGTGATACACAACTGCATATTTTTGTAGATAAGTAAACAGAACCTAAGAAAGTCACATTTTCAGTTTGAGTTAATCTTTTGTTTGTTCTTTTTTATAGAGCATATGAAACTTCTAAAATGTATCGTGATTTTAAATTGAGAAGCGCACTAATTCAAAATAAGCAACTAAGATTATTACCACAAGAACATGTGTATGATAAAATCAACGGAGTATGGAATTTGTCCAGTGATCAGGTACCACACAAAGAACTAAGGAACCTTTTAGGGTGGTGCTTTTTTGGTGGTCATTTTCCCATTTATGATTAGGTTTGTATGTTTATTTAACTGTTAAGATTAACATTATAGCCCTTAATAAGTTAGCATTATAACTGTTGATATAAAATAATATTCTGATTTTCATATTTTTATGGTTTTTGTGCTCTATTTAGCAACATTTGTTCTGTGTAGACTATAGAGCTGGAATGGACCTTAGAGATCATCTAGTTCAGTCTCCATTCACATACAGATGAAAAACTCGGTCCCTAAAGAATCATATGACCTCACACATCTAGTTTGTCCCCTAACCATGCTCTTTCCCCTGTATTGCACTACCCTCCACATCGTGATAACTTTTGCTGATGGAGGAGAGTCATAGGGTGGACAGTCACGGAAGCCTTTTAATCCAATCTTTATGGAATTAAACATAACTCATTTGGTGACTCCAGCCATTATTGTAACTTTTCATTTGTTCTTGAAATTATGACCAGATGAAATACATATGCCACTAATAGCTGGAATAAATAACAAATCAATTTCTAGAGAAAAAACCTGCCTCTTACTAAGAATAGTTTCCAAATTTTGTGTGTGTTACAACCTAGATTAGACTGATAACCGAGTGGTAAAGCTGCAGCATTTGACTGAAGAGCTTCTTGCTAAACATTGAATCATAAACTTAAATTGTAAATAAACTTTGCTCATTTGAAAAGTTCTAGTTTTAAACTATGATAAAGATTCTATAGGATATAGACAGCTCTCCATCTGAATAACTCCTCCTCATCAGGAGTCAGAAAACTTTATAAAGAGCCAGATAGTAAATATTTTAGGCTTTGAAGACCCTATAGTTTCTGTCCTAACTTCTCAGTCCTGCCACTGTAGTGTAAAACCAGCCGTAGACAATCTGTCAGCAAGTGAGCATGACTGTGGTCAATAAAAGTTTATTGTGGACATGAAGTTGAATTTCACATAGTATTCATGTGTCATGAAATATTGTTCTTTTGACTTATTTCCAACCATTTAAAAATGTAAAAATTACTTTTAGCTTGCATACAAAATGTGGCAGCAGGCCAGATTTGGTCCACAGTCCATAGTTTAACAACCTCTGCTTTAGGTCACACTTAGATGTCACTTTCAGAAAGCTGCCTTCTGTATGTTCCTGTGCAGCTAGTAGGTACTGATGGTGTAATCACAGTCTAACTCCAGGCTCTCAGTCATCTAATTGCACTGCCATCCAATGAATGGTGAAGTCATTAACACTCCGTAATACTCAACTCTTGTATTTTATGCTGTTGTGATAATCAGAATTATTCTAGTATTTAGAAAATAAAGAAAAGTATTCAAACATGATCATTGATGTATCTCTAATTACTCTCTTTTACAGGGAAATTTAGGAACCTTTTTTATTACCAATGTGAGAATTGTGTGGCATGCAAATATGAATGACAGTTTTAATGTCAGTATACCATATCTGCAAATTGTAAGTGCATGCATTTTGATGACCTTATTTTAATGCAGAATAAATAATTTATGTCCAACAGTTAATAGGACTTTTGGGATTAGATGAGTTCTCTCTCTTCTTTTTTAAGTGGTAGCAGTTTAGCTGAGAGCATACTTTGTAAGTGTTGATAATAGAAAGGATCCAATAGTATTTAACATTCAAGGGAAATAGCACCATTATCAACTTGCTACTAAGAGAGAAATATACTGAATTCTAAAAATTTAAACAGTTATCATACGATTAAGGTGATTTTTCTTAGATTTAATTCAAAGGACTTTAGCTACTAAAGTTTTCCACAACTTTTCCAGGAGGCAAGTATAGAGTGGTTCTTCGGCATGGCTGCAGCACACTGATCCACACACTTTTGGCTCTCTTGCTACTTTCTGCTCAAACCCTTTTAAAGCCAGAATGAATTCATTAATTCTGTGAATGAACTGTTTTCATTGTATTCAGATACAAATATAATATATGTATACATTTATTATAAGCTGGATTCATACTACAGGTTTCGTAAAAGGAATCAAGATGGTTTTTCATGATAATGGTTTTAGCCTAAACTAAATTAAAGCTGTTAAAATTTAGAATAAGAACTAATTACATCTGAGACCAATTTGTTTTGGGAACAGATAAAGGTGGTTCTTTTTACTCTGCCGCTGCTTCTATAAGTATGTGATTCAGTGAAACAAATAGTAAATTCCAATAAATTGAAGAATTTCATTTTATATATTAAAAAAAAAACCTTCTTAACGGATTCTGGTGCAAATTAGGTGAAACATAAAAATAGTTAATGAAAATCCTGTGAGGTTATCCTATGATAATCACCCTTATTGTAGGATATAAGTAGTCTTAAGACTAAGTAGTTTCATTAATAAATATTGAGTACTCAATACAATGTATATGGTATCTGGAAAATCATTTTTTTAAGAGACTTCTTGACCTATGAGAAGGATAATTCTTTGCAAACTATTCCCAAGCCTATCTTTTGCTAAACTGTTTGATTTGAGGTACTTTAAAATGTCTGGTCATTCATTTGCCAAGTATTGAGAGCCTACTCTAGGCTCAGTGATGGAACTCAAGAACCAGTACACTTTGCCTCAGCCATTGCGCTGACTCCAGTTGCTGCCATTAAGGAGCTTTCAGTCTGGTGGAGAAAAGCAACACATTAAGTGGAAAATCATAGAATCTGACAGGAAGAAATTATTTCTGACCATCAAAAGAAATACAAGAATTTAAAATCATAGCTGGGAATATGTGACAGAGTCTACATAGGTTATTTTATAAATTATGTTTGTATTGTTTGTTCCTGTTTTATATTGCGTTTACCTGTGTTATAGCTTGCCTGACCTAGCCTCTATTATGCTGAGTAATTACTGAGTAGTTAACAACCTTGTGCTTTCTGTTCTTCAAGTAGGATACTTTTTGTTATTTAAGAATACAGTTGCCAAATACGGACTCGAATGAATTCAGCCTGGCCCTAACAACTTGCAACCTGATATCATTACAGTCTGTCACTGTGGAGTTCAGGTTCTAATAACTTCAGCCCTTCGCCTCAGCCATTGCACTGACTCCAGTCCTATAGATGTATATTTGTATATATTTATATATATCTTCTTGCCAGTTTCTATATCAGATTGTATCAACCACAGTCACCTGGCTAGACTGACAACCAGGATGCCAGTGTTCTGTGGTTCTTAACCAGGACTGGGTATAACTGGCAGAGTATGTAGTCTAGATAGAAGGTCAGGTTTTCATAACAGTTACCGTTTAGTGTGTGTCTGTGTGTATGTATGTGTATCTATCTGTCTGTCTGTCTGTGTCTCTCTCCATCAATCTCTCTCTCTCTCTCTCTCTCTCTCTCTCTCTCTCTCTCTCTCTCTCTCTCTCATTCACGGCTTCCAATGCCCATCTGTCTGGAAGTGTGATATGCCATGACCTACCACAGAATATTACCCTTCTCGGACTTTTGGTCTGCTGGTCATAATATTAGATCCTCCATGGTTCTCTCTAACCTTGCTAGCAAGTACTTTTTGTGTCACTTTCTATAGTCCTGTGTGTCATTATGCTTCTACCCCTCAACCCTCCTCCCCAGCCACTGGTGTCACTTCACTGCTCATCTCCTGCCAGCCAAGCTTTGTCCTCATGTCACACTTACTTGTTGAGTTAATTACATTTGACCTATCCTAGCCTTCCTTAATGCCCAGTGATGGATCTCATACTTATTTTTTTTAATAAGTGGAATGGAGGTACTTTAAGAATTTAGCCATCTATGATGTAAGAAACAGAAGGCACATGTGACTTTTAAAAACTAACCCAGCCTTACAAGCCACAAAAGACACTGGCTCTCCATAACTAAAAGATTATTGGCCTTTGATTTAAAATATTCAGAAAAGTTGCGGACACCCTGAAGTGGGGAAGATCTAAGTCAGAGAATCTTGTACATTTTTCAGAGATGTCATCTTTGTTATGCCTAATTCCAGTATGAAAATTTCATTTACTTGATCTCTTTGGGAGTGTAATGAAAGAAAGAAGGAGAATTCTGTTCTTTAGACTATGAAAAGTAGTTACTGTGTAAAAGGTAAAAAACCTATGTTGAAGAGTCACTACTATCAGATAATAAAAACAAGCTTTTTTTTTTTCTTTTTCATTTTACATCTAGCGGTCAATAAAGATTAGAGATTCAAAATTTGGTTTAGCTCTTGTCATAGAAAGCTCTCAGCAGGTAAGATGCTTCATATTTTTATTAATAGATTTTTAAAACTCTGTGACAGTCTTTATTTTTAGTTGTATTTATGTAGTAACCAGTTTACACCCAAGAATAATATTAGTTGTAATATGAAATTATATGAAGGATTTGAAATCATATAGTAATTGTCCCCAGAGAGGAATCCTGCTTATGTTTCTCTGTTGGGCAGACATGCATTATAATTACAGTCAAGTGTCATTATCTCAATCTTTACGTAACCCTATGATACAGTTACTATTTTTCCCCATTTTACAGTCAAGGAAACTGAGGCTTGGGGATGTTAGGAACCTTGCCTGAGGTCTCATAACTAGTAAATGGTAGGGCTAAGTTTTGATTCCAGGTCTGACTGATTCACAAGACTATCTTTGGGAAACACAGGTATATATAGATACACACACCTTATTTGAGATTTTATACTATCATACACAGATTATACTGAATCTAATTATAAACTGCTCTGCCCCATTGTGCATGGTTTTTGCAGAGATACATTTAAATAAAACATTTACTTATTTATAAACTCTCTTCTAAATTTAAAGTTTTAACATGAATGTTTACTCACACTCCTTTCCTCTGGCCTGTAGATTTGTAGCTGCCATTTATTGAGCGCTTACTGTGTTCCAAGAACTGTGCCATGTCATATATACGTTATTATACTTAATATAACTTGATAAACATTTTAATGGTTAGAAAATTAAAGCTTAGAAAGATAAGGGAAATAAGTTTCTCAGCATTATACAGCTAGTAAATTTGTTGTAAAACCAGGATTTGAACCCCAAAATGTTACACTTCTCCAATTTTGAACACTTCTCCAATAAACTGTTATGGTCAAGTTTCTTTCCTAGTTCTTCAAAGAGATAGGCTCAGGTACACTATTCCCTTTCTTCTTTTAATGTTTAGTCTATTCCTTTTCAAGGTCTAGCTCAAGAAAAACTTAATTCCCTGGGCCTTCACAATCTGCAGTGTATTTTTTAAATCTTGAAATATTAGTTTTGACATTTACAGATGAATTATGTGATATCTAGATATACTTAGAAATAATCCTGAGTAGGGTGATGGGGGGAGACTTGGGGGATGGGGAAGTTATAGATGGAACAGAGTTGGCCATATGCTGTTACTTGTTAAAGCTGGATGATGGCCACATGGACGCTTATTGTACACTTTTATTTTTGTATATGCTGCATGCTTTTCATAATAAAAATTTAATTAAAAATCATCTTATATATTGTACTCTGAATAAAGGACAATTAGAGCTATATTTTATCATACTTTGTAAATACCATTCCTCAGGCTTATTTTTTATTTTTTCATTATTTTTCTTGTAGAGTGGAGGATATGTTCTTGGCTTTAAAATAGATCCTGTGGAAAAACTACAAGAATCAGTTAAAGAAATCAATTCACTTCACAAAGTCTATTCTGCCAGTCCTATATTTGGAGTGGATTTTGAGATGGAAGAAAAGGTAATTTGTTTGGTGTGTGATACACAGAGTTTGCTGAACTCCCTTTATGCAATCTGTAAAATTCAGATATAAACATACTGTGTACAATTTAATTTTAACCTATGTTTAAAATGATGAATTACAGACCCTGCTCAGTGAGCATGGCCCCTGGGCCAACACTGATTTGTGCCTACCACCTGTTTTCTCCCTGGCTGCTTCAGCATTCATTCCTACCCATCTTGGGGAACAGCGAATCTGAAGAAGTCTCCATGCGCAAGGCTCTTCTGATGCAGACAGACTTAAGCCATCCATTAGCATTTGGTTAAACTTTATAGGCCTCACAGACATCATTCTTATCTCCCACCGTGTTACACAATATAGCAACCTCAGAAGTGCTCTGTCAGTATGTCCTGTGTCCATTCTTATTCATCAGAGCCTCTTCATTGCCAGTTATGAGGTATTTTGAATATCAGACCCCGCATGTCTCTTTGCCTTCCTCAGGAATTCTGGCTTCTGCACCACTTCCTGCTCTCCAGGTACATCAGCCATCTTTTGGCTTTACTTTTCAGCCTCTGCAGCTGGGCCCCTCGTCATCTGATGTATCACTGGTGTCCTCACCAGCCACTCCATTAGAGACTCCTCGCTGTCTGTGCTATCAGCGGTACCCTTGCCAGAGGCACTCTATCACAGGCCCTCTTGCTGTCTGTCCACTTGCTGGGGTCCTCACTGTATGCTCTATTGCTTGTGTCCTTGCCATCCACTCTTTCATCAGTGTCCCCGCTGGTACTCAGCATGTTGAGACATATCACAGAACACATATATTATCTGTCTCTTCTCCTGCTCTTGGACTACAGCATGTGACCAGAGAAGATCAAGAAATAGGGCTGGGCAGCTGAGTACAGATTCATACCTTCTGATTTCAACCTTGCTATGCTCCTTATATTGGATTTGTTTCTCTCCCTGTCCCATTCCATATATATCCCCTTCCCCTTCCAGCTGAAAAGTCTCCCTGGCTTGTTGACACCATATTATACACACACACTAAGAATTTCCTCTCCTTAACCATCCTTTTCTGCTTTCTTCCCAGCCTGTACTTCTGTCAGCATTCTCCCTTTCACTCTCTCTTCTCTGTATATCCCTCAGTTGTATCACCTGCTCCTCCCGTTTCTGCAACTTGTACTTTTGTGGATGACTTCCAGATCTTTCTGATCCTGGCATACTCTCTCAGCTTATCATGGTTCCAAATATTCTTGAATATATTCTCATAGAAATAACATGAATTGAGTTTCTCATTTTGAAGTTTATCTTCATAATTTAATTAAGTAAATAGTTTTCCAGATCAGTAAGATGCACTGGGACATGGTTGAGTATCTCAAACTTGGCATAACTCAAATGGCAACATTTTTCTCAAAAGCAGTATCCTGCTGATTTATTTATATATTTATTTTTTACTACTTATTTTGTTTGTTTTTTGAGGTTCTTTGGTTTTTTTGCTTTTTGGGTTTTTTTTATTGAAGTATAGTCAGTTTACAATGTTGTGTCAATTTCTGGGTTACAGCATAATGTTTCAGTCATCCATATACATACGTATGTTCGTTTTCATATGCTTTTTCATTATAGGTTACTACAAGATTCTGGATATAGTTCCCTGTGCTATACAGCAGAAACTTACTGTTTATCTATTTATATATAACTACTATTTTTCACATTGCAAAGTCAGCTGTGCTCAAAACTTTGGAGTTTTCCTTGTTTATTTTTCCCATTATCTTATTTTACACAATTATACCAATCTCTTCCCTGTTCCTATCCCTTTCTTTGCATTCAAACTGCAGTTTCTGTTACTACTTTTGCTTGTAGAATAATGTTGTAGAGCAAGCATGGTCCTTGAAACCTGACAAACTTAACTTCAGTCCCAGTTTCACCATTTAGTTGTGATCCTAGGCAAATTTGAGCTTCAGTTTTCACGTTATAAAATGAAGATAATCTCACAAAGTTATCAATCATATCTGTACAGTAAGTGGGATGTGGCAGACACTCAGTATGTTAGTTATCCTACGCATTCTCTCTCCACCTTTCATTTCTCCTCTTTTCCCCTTCTTTGGCTCCCAGGATATAAGAATAACCAGCCAAAACTTTGTCACCTCAAGTAAGTCCTTACTCCAAAGCCACCTCTCCAGGGAGTTCTTCCCTGACTTTCTATCTAAAACCACAACCCTCATCACTCTTTTACCCCTTATTTCTGCTTGCTTGTTTGCTTGCTTCCTTGCTTGCTTTATTTTTGGTAACAGTAATCTGTCTCCTCCACTATAAATAATCTCCATGAAGTCAGGGATTTTTGTCTATTTTTCTTTAATCCCTATATCTCCAGCAATCAAAACTAGCACATAATAGACTCTTAGTGAATATTCATAGTTGTTGAATGACTGTGTTGAACACCTGCTCTTTGCCATTCACTGCTCTGAGAACTTTATATGCATCATCTCATTTAATCCTCCCAACACCACCTTGAAGTATATCATTATTATCATTATTATACTTATCTCACAGTTAAGGAGACTGAGGCTTAGATAGGTTAAATTACTTGGACACAGTGACACAGCTCTGAACATGGTTGAAGCACTGGCTGTCCTCAGACTGGGGAATCCCATCACTCTGGCCAGCAGTACACTTCACACTCAGCCCGCCCCCACCAATTACCTATAAATAGTCCAAAAGCCCTAGGACGGTAGTAAAGAGTTTCAGTAGACTCCAGTCTATCTTTCCCACCTTTTCTGCACACAGTGCCTGGTTCTGTAGGCTGTGTGCTCCCCAGTGCTGGAGAACACTGTTCACATAGACTTCAGTGTGAGTGATACTCCTTGGTATTGTTCAGTACAAAATTCCTGCATAGCTCCTTAAGTCCTGTGGGACTCCTATATTCTGACCATACTGGACCATTCATCATCTTCAGCCACATCCTGTGGTTTCTCACCTTTTTGATGCTGATCCCCTCTGCCAGGAATACCCTTCCCCTAATCCTACTTCTGAAATTCACCCTTCTCTTAAAAGCCGTAGATTCCATGCCAGCCTTTTCTTCATGAAAGTTTCTGGGATGCACAAGCCAGAAGTTGTGCTGTCTCTGAACTGTTTTATTATAATAAATGTTACATTTGTTACAGCTACTTTGTGTAAGTTGGACCATATAATACTATTAATATTTGACCATTTTTGACTAACAAAAGTGGCAATTTTGTATAGTTCAACCTGATATTTAGTTATTTGTAATTGTGTTTTATCCTTCACTCCACTCCCACTACATTACACACCTTTTGTAATAAGGGCAGAGACTTTATGACTTTGGTTGTACCAATATGGTGCCTAATACACTAAAGATATTCAAATATTTTTAAAATGAATAGATATAATAAGCACTATATTTTATTCTGCTTTACTTTTAGAATATTCCATACAAATCTTAGTTCCTTTTTTTAACAAAGTCTATTTAATGACTGTTTTGAGGAAAATTGAAAATTTGCCATGACACAAAAGTTAGATTTTTTTAAAAACTATCAGGTAACTTTTAACTATCAAAAACTCAGATAAAGTCCAATGAGTTTTTCTTTACCAATATCTCTAAGTATTATATTAAGTATGTGTAAAATTGTCATTTTAAATCTTTTGATCATACTGACTTCATATTTAAAAGCTTAGGTTCAACTGACTCATTTTTTTCATGTTAGTTTTAATAGAATATAAATTATGTAGTTGTTTTTATAAGATTTGAGTTTATAACTGTGATATCCTTTTACAAGTATTTACGATTCTCACAGCACATTTTATTAAAAGTATTTGTTTGATTAACATTGTCTCTTTGATGCATTTTAACACCTACTGATTTTTAGCCACAGCCCCTTGAAGCTCTGACAGTTGAACAAATTCAAGACGATGTAGAAATAGACTCTGATGATCACACGGATGCTTTTGTGGTGAGCGTCACAAAGGAGAACTACTAAATTTCTTGTGATTTTTTTTTATCTGAGTCACATTAAATTAAATAATGGATAAAGAGTGTAAAATACGATAGAACTTGACACTTTTAAGAGTGTCTTGGGGAGAGGATATAGCTCAGTGGTAGAGTGCATACTTAGCATGCATGAGGTCCTGGGTTCAATCCCTAGTACCTCCATTAAAATAAATAAACCTAACTACCTACCCACCAACAAAACAATAAAAATTTTTTTAAAAAAGTATCTTAAACATGAGTTGGAGAGTGATTTTTTTTTTAAGTTAGGGATTATTGAGGATTTCAGATATGTGAAAAGTTTTTTCATACCTTAAGATAATAAATTATGGTAATACAGTTAATTAATTTAAAATTTATACTTTCCATACGTAATCTTTATGAGATAGACCTCCCTCCTTTCAATTTATAAGTATATTATCTTAAAAGATTCTGTTTGAACAGTAAATTCTCTTGTTTCCAAATTTGTATTATGTAATTAATAGCCAAAATAATAATATTGCTTTCTATGATCAATGAATCTGACTAGAATACCTCTCTGGGAACATATATTTTTAGGAAAAAGTATGAAATAAGTATAAAATATTTAATTATAAACTGCTACTATCTCAGTGTATATACTTGCTTACACATTGAAGCACTAATTGTTTTGTTTTGCCAGCATCTTACTCTAAACCGAAAGTAGAAATGAAATTTTACAGCTGCTGTCATTCTTTTTATCTCCTTTCAAGTTAACAGTGCTAACTATATGCTAATTACAAAGCACATTTTTTAGCGCTTAAAGCATAACTTTTGAAGACATTAATAATGATTGACAGAAGTGAACTCTGCAACCAGCATTGTAAAGATAGGTGAGAAGGCCAGTACACACAGTAACAGAATGACAAATACAGTTAGTCACAGCATTGTTCTAGAAATTAATTACCTGTTCCTTAGCCTACTAACCTATTATAATATTATATGTCAAGTGTGTGAAATATAATTTTCTTTCTCTTATAGGCTTATTTTGCTGATGGCAATAAGGTAAGGATATTTTACCTATAGTATATTTTTAAAAACTTTCTATAGTCTAATATTTAGTATTCACAAACTTATGTGAAACCTATTTTTTGTTTTTTCCCCTCTTCCTTGCCCACCTTGTCTATTCCCGTCTCATCCTCTTATCTCCCAAAAAGCAACAAGATCGTGAACCTGTATTTTCAGAAGAACTGGGGCTTGCAATAGAGAAATTGAAGGATGGATTCACCCTACAGGGACTTTGGGAAGTAATGAGTTGATCTTGAGTTGAGCTGGATTTCTATTTAAGGATTTCTCAAGATTAAAGATACTAGTCGCCTGCTATAAAGCGTGGAATAGTTTTTACATTTACAGAAAAAGCTTTTAAGAGAGTTTTTTAATGATTAAGGAAAAACTCATTTATCTAATATTTTACTGCCAGTCTTCTAAAAATTATATTTGAAATTGTAATTGAAATGTACCTGGTTTGTTGTAAATATGTTTATTTTGTACCTAATACTTGTTAATTATTAGTCTGCAGATATTAAAAGACTGTATCATGTTGGGTTTAATAAAGAATTTATGCAGCACCATTAAATGTTTTGAAAGTATTATTTAAAAGAGTAAGACTATTCTTATGGAGTAATCAAAATACTGCTTTTTTAATTATAAAAATATGGTTTCAATATACTATCATATAGATCCAAAAGTCAGTCAATTCTAATATATTAAATTACAAACCTTAAACTTGTCATTTTTAGGTAATGATTTCTGAAAAACTAAAAATTATAGCTAACTCTGGAGGATATCAACCCCTATGTAAAGTTTTAGGCAGTATTTTGTAAATAATTTCAGTGTAGTTTTGGCAAGAATACATTTATTTGGTAAGGAAATAGTTTTAAATAGTTGTAAATAAATAATTCATTTATTGACTTTCTCTTTGTACTCATCGCAACTTCTTTGAAGTTTTCAAAAATACAGTATTTTCTGATTTCTTGGTCAGGTAGAATTTGGTGACCTCTCCGGCATCATTGGTTTTTTGCCACTGCTTCAGTATAAAGCAACATTGTAAGGAACTTTGTGAGGAACTTTAGCCAAATCGTTAAAATTAGCCAAAGGAGCCCTCTTTCTCAAGGGAAAAAAGTGAATGTGTAAAAATATTTAAAATAAGATGCAACTGTATGCACAACCACAGACACACAGGACAACCAAGTGCTAACCTAAGTTTAATAAAAATCAATGAACAAAAGCTATAATTTGGATTCTTCATCTAAATAGGAAAGGATTTCTACATTTTTAAGGGATGGAGTCGCAATAAACTATATTGAGAGAAAATATTGCTTGAAAAATTCATACAGGTCACAAAATGCTGCTAGGAATATTGTTTCAATAGTTTTTCAAGCAAAAGAGACTATAAAATTGCTAACTAGAAAGGAATAATCTCAAACGTCACATCATGGGGTTTGCATCTGACTCATTAATCTTTTCAAATGTTAAGTGTTACATGTAGAGAGAAATGAGTCATTTATTGTTTAAACAAGGGAGCAGCTGTTAGTTTTTTCTAGTGCGTTAAAACCTTTAGTGGCATCTATAAATGGAAAAAGAGTCAATGAGCTCTTCTCTCAGCTGTTGTTTTAGCAGCTGACAGTACCATTGAATTCACCATGATATAAAATAAGAAAAAATCTTTACTCATGGATGGAGACCTTTAAGTTTAAAAATACATAATTACCTGATCTGGGGCATACATTCATTCGACAAATATTTATAGAGTACCCATGAGGCCCTGTGGCTATAGCACTAAACACAATAAACCTCCCCCAAATCCCTGTCTTTATGGAGCTTAAGTTCTTTTGAGCATGTTTAAGAATACCAACCTTTGAAATTACGGTATTTCTACTGCCCCACTGAGTTCAAAAAATGTGGCAATATCATTTTGTAATAAAATATTTCATGAAGAAATATACTATCTGTAGATAAGCAAAGTATCATTTTTTTCAGATCATGCCTTCTGCATCCCATAATTAATATGTTGTGTTCTAGTATAATCAACAACTTAAATTACAATTCTACTTATATATTCTTTTTGTGTTTGTGTGTATAAGGGCTGTTTTTCAAATTATAACAGTGATGTAGCACTTCATCATTTTTCTCTGTTCTGTTGGTAACATTATTCTCATGGGGCTACATCTGTTCTATTTTTTAAATTTTTATTTAATGAAAGATCAACACTTAAAATCACAAAATATCTTTAGTGATCATACTGTTATTTATGTGGATTTTTTCTTTCCCTACTGTTGATGTTTAACTTTTTTCTGGTCCTGATGATTCCTTTTAACCTTTTGTATTTTTTTTTTTTACTTATTTTAGTATAATATTGTTTGCCACATCAAATCCTTTTAGAGCAAGACAGGGTGTGAACAAATTAAATAATTTTATAATTTAATTCAATACTAATTATAGTTTTTCAACTTAAAGATAAAGATAATTCAGGATATCTTAAAAAACTAGCAGTTTCTCTGCATTTATTTTAATCGTGATGGGTGCATTATTATTTTAAATTTTTTTTAAACTATAATTGTAGTACCTAAGTAGAAGTCTTTAAGTTTCCTACTTCTAAAAGGAAAATTATATACCTCACTGTTTTAAGCAGAAAATAAAAATTTGTGTGTAACAGTTATTGGAAAGAGGATCTTGCTTATGAGAATCCAAATGAACTCACCTCATATTGTTGACCTTTGCATCATTAATTTAGCCATGTTGGTTGCCACTAGACCATTTTTAGTGGACTGACTCATTTTTATGATTCAGTTTTCTGTTAGTTCAATAAACATTTTCTTGTCGTAGCCTTTATTAGAATATCTTCTAATGCTTTATGTATTTGGAAGCTTTCATCTTCATTTAAATCTTTTTTCTTAGCTGTTTCCTTAGTGATTAAAAGTTCCAGTTGTTCCTTTCAATCTCTAACAGCTGCAAGAACAACTCTTCTTTCCAAACTAGCTCTCCTAAATTCCCGTTGTTAGAGTTGGTATCTATATTTAGCTGGTGGGATTAAATTGCAAAGGCTTCAAGCTGGGCAAAGCACACTGATCTGCCTTTTTACTGCTAGACCTGTGTGCTGTGAGGAGCTAAGGCCTTAGTGTCCCCTTCCTTACCTAGGTTACTCACAAAATGGATTCCCAGCGGGAACTCGCAGAGGAACTGCGGCTTTACCAATCCACCCTTCTTCAGGATGGTCTAAAAGATCTCCTGGATGAGAAAAAATTCATCGATTGCACCCTAAAAGCAGGTGACAAAAGCCTTCCTTGCCACAGATTGATTTTGTCAGCTTGTAGTCCTTACTTCCGTGAGTATTTTTTATCTGAAATTGATGAGGAGAAAAAAAAGGAGGTAGTATTAGATAATGTGGATCCTGCTGTACTTGATTTAATCATTAAGTATCTATACTCTGCCAGTATTGATCTCAACGATGGAAATGTGCAAGATATTTTTGCATTGGCCAGCCGCTTTCAGATCCCCTCGGTGTTCACTGTTTGCGTTTCTTATCTTCAGAAAAGACTTGCTCCTGGTAACTGCCTAGCTATCCTAAGATTAGGACTTCTGCTTGACTGCCCAAGACTCGCCATCTCTGCCCGTGAGTTTGTGTCTGATCGCTTTGTACAGATTTGTAAGGAAGAGGACTTTATGCAACTGTCTCCACAGGAGTTGATCTCAGTCATTTCAAATGACAGCCTCAACGTAGAGAAGGAAGAAGCAGTATTTGAGGCAGTGATGAAATGGGTGCGAACAGACAAAGAAAACCGGGTTAAAAACCTTAGCGAAGTGTTTGATTGTATCCGTTTTCGCCTTATGACAGAAAAATATTTTAAAGATCATGTTGAGAGAGATGATATAATTAAAAGCAACCCAGAACTCCAGAAAAAAATCAAAGTTCTCAAAGATGCCTTTGCAGGCAAACTCCCAGAACCTAGCAAAAACGCAGAGAAGGCTGGGGCTGGTGAGGTAAATGGTGATGTTGGTGATGAAGATTTACTTCCTGGTTACCTGAATGACATTCCCAGGCATGGAATGTTTGTCAAAGACCTTATCCTCTTGATTAATGACACAGCTGCAGTGGCTTATGATCCCACAGAAAATGAATGCTACCTTACTGCACTGGCTGAGCAGATCCCCAGAAATCATTCCAGCATTGTTACCCAACAGAATCAGGTATATGTGGTTGGAGGACTATATGTGGATGAAGAAAATAAAGATCAGCCTCTACAGTCATACTTCTTCCAGGTAAGAAAGGCTATTTTCATGTAAGTAGAGACATAAAAGAAAGGCTGTTACTCACCGTCCTGTTAGCTGATTTCTGAATTATTCAAGAGGCTTGCATTGCATTTTATTCTGCTTGACATCCTTTTCCAGTCCCTTGCATTTTCACTGCTTCGAGGGCTGACAAATATTTAGATCAGTTAACTGCTTGTTAATATTCAATAAAAGTTCTGTTGATGAATGAGGTTCTAATTAATGTATAAGTGATGGCTCATGATTTTCTTTCTGCTCTTTAACCCAAAATGTCATGTTTATCATTGATGGTGACTATAATGCTTTAAAGCCCAGTATTTTAATAAAAACTAAATTTAATCTTGTATCCTCTTTCTGAAAAATAGCTTACTGTATTTCCCAAAAGCAAAGTATTTACACATTACAAAAAAAAAAAGTTATAACTGATCAGATTTTCTACCTTTTCCTAAGTTTCCTTGATTCAAATTTCCTGGAGGTAGCATTTCATCTCTTATTTATGGTTACTGCCTAAAATATAATTTTATTGAAAAGGAAAAGAACTTGTATACGTATTTTACACACTTTGAGTTACTTTCTAGGAAAAACTTTTCTGCACAAGTGTCACTAATTTGAATTGATTAATTGTATTTAAATTTTTTAATTTATGATAATTTTTATTTATGACAAATGATCACATTTATTTGGATCAGAGTTGTACTTAGACATTGTTACAACTTAATCTACTTTATCAAACCATAGACGTTTCCAAGAAAACAAATCCTCCTAAACAGCCTCTTTGTAGCTTGTTCGAAAGGAGTTTGTTTCATATTAATAATGTATTATACTTTATCAGTTTATGATGGAATCAGTGACTTAACCTTCATCTTCAATAATCCAGTACCAGTACTTTATAGCATACAGATAGTTCAAGAGTTTGTTTAGGTCATAGGTCTAGGGTTTATGGGCACTTGAGTTGGAAAGGCCAAAGATAAGTAAGTGTAGAATGTCATACCACAGTCACTATGTGCTCTCAAAGTGTGTGACATACTGTGCACTGACAAAATACACCCTTTAACTAGTTTTTTCTAATATTGAAAAATGTAATTGTAATAATACATGTTAACCATGCTTCTTAATTTTCAAAGTTCCATTAAAGAATGTTAACCATGAAATGTAACAATAAAATAGAAGGTGTAATCAGAACTATTTGAATGTGAGCTAGAAATTTTTCTAAGTCCCAATTTTAAATTCAGATACATTTCAGAAAGGGCAAATTCAATTGAAAAGGCAATAATTATATCTAGGAGTAAAAATGACATCAAAACACAGACAGACAGACAGACAGATACCTAGAAACCATAGATCCAAAGAATATTTATAGCCTTATCTTTATTCTTTTCCATCCTGTTAACTGCCCTTACTTTTATGACACAGCCTCTCGTTTCTGGTTCAAGAAACCTGCTTGATTGTGCTCTATACTGGAAATTGACACAACATTGTAAACTGACTATAACTCAATAAAAAAAAAAGAAACCTGCCTGATGCTCTATATAGCTACAGAAACAGTTATGCAGAGTTGAAAGGGTCACCTCCCTGTCATGTCCCATGTCTTGCTCCTTTTAAAAGGCATAAATAGTGGAACAAGATGCCAGGATAAAAACATCTGACCATAAAAGAGGGTTATGACTCACAAGAAAACATACATATGAGAATTTCAGGTTTTAAATTCTCTGCTTGGTCACTTCTGTTTAAAATGTATTAAGTTAGGATTAATCTGACCTTTGTATACTAGAATTAGATTATGAGAATTTTTTTACCTAGGTAAGAGAGGGTTTTCCCCATAAAATTAATAGTTTCATTATATCTTTGAACAGCACCACATCTTAAAGTAATCTCTGTCCAAACTCTAATTTGAAGGATGAGAAAACTGGAGCCAGAGAGGTTAAATAGCTTGACAGCTCATCTATTTAAGAAAAACAAAAACAAAAACAAAACACCCTGGCAGGCAGTCTACTGTCTCATTTGTTGTAGGAAGTGTCCTAATGGGGGTAGTATGGGGTGTAAGCAGTACTGTGGGCAGTAAATCCTCCAATTTGGGATTAAAATGGCTGCTGTTCCCATTTTTTAAAAAACTATGAATTTATACAGCTTGCATTGAGTATCACTCAAAAGCTCTCTGAGCTTCGGCAAGTTATTTAACCTTTCAGTGCCTCAGTTTCTTCATCTGTAAAATGGAGATAATAAAAGTACCTATCCTAGAGGACTAAATGAGATTATCTGTGTAAAGCATTTATTATGAAGCCTAACAGAGTAAAAACTACCATAAATGTTCATTATTATTGCTACTAGACTACACACCACTTTTTTGTTAAAGGATTTTTTTTCAAAAATAAGAATATTAGTGATCACAATCTAGATGTAGAAGTTAGTGAATGCAAACTAACAATGCACATGTGGGAATTAAACTTCTCATCTCATCTAGTTTTAATAAGTGCTTTGCTTTAACCAAGGTTACTAGACCAGACAGGGATAGGCTTCCATAGGGACCCCTCTCTATATACAGCCCTTAATATCTACATCTATTCTTGGTATTCAATTATTCTGGGTTTTATCCTTTTTCTTCTGCTGTATATAAGTAGCAATAGAGAGAACAAAAAAACCTGTGATGCTCCCTCAGAAAGCAGTTTTCTTGGGCCTTGGTATCCTAAAATGCAAAGTGGAAAATCTTAAAATTACCAATAGTAAGTACTGAAGTTGATGCCAGCTATACCAGAATCACCTATCCCAGAGCAAGGATGGGCTCTTGGAGGGCTGTCTTATGCTTGCAGGATTGGCAGAAGCAAAAACAAGCAGTTACTTCCTAATATAAATTGGAAAGAGAGAGAAAAGGGTATTTCAAATAACTCCCAAAAAATAGGTTATAGGGTATAACACCTGCGTATATCCGAAGTAGTAAAGTAAAGCATAGAGAATCTAAAAATGCTGAAGAAAAAAGATAATGTTTAACACCCCAGTTGTCTGTGAACTGAGCGACAGGTCCAGCTGTTCTGGGTGCTGGCTTGGGAGCATGTTAAATATAGCACACAGAGGTCACTCACATACTGACCCTCCCTATGGTAGCTACATCTCTTTTCCCAGTGTCCTAAAAATATGATTCCTTGTTCAAACCTGGACAAGGCAATGTGGGGAGAAAATTTGACAAGAAAGCTCACAGTTCTAACTAATCTCTGGTGACTATTTTTTTCTCTTTTTGCTTTCTTGAAGTTCTGCAGATTTGGGTACTTTTAGCTATTTTGGTAAGCAAAGTAGATTTTCTCATTTTTCTTGGCAATTCAGAGGTAAAATATGATCCTTCTGGATTGTAGTTTTACTTGTGAGATCTTTGACTATCTCAATGATTGCTAAACAATACATAAAGTGCATTTTTTTTGGTATACCTGTAACAAGCTTCACAATTCCTCACATATTTTTTCTTTCAGCTTGATAACATAGCATCTGAGTGGGTTGGACTTCCACCTCTGCCTTCAGCCAGGTGTCTCTTCGGTCTGGGAGAGGTAGATGACAAAATCTACGTAGTTGCTGGTAAAGACCTTCAAACAGAGGCTTCACTGGACTCAGTATTATGCTATGATCCTGTGTAAGTTGGCATGACATTTCCGTCTCTTAAGCATTTAGGTAGATGAGTGCCTATAACATATTCATAATTTTAGAACCTGAAATTTACTGAAAGCATATAAATTTTATAATCTTCTGATTTTAGGGCAGCAAAATGGAATGAAGTTAAAAAACTTCCTATCAAAGTCTATGGCCATAGTGTGATTTCACATAAGGGGATGATATATTGTCTCGGAGGAAAGACAGATGACAAGTAAGTACCCTAAAATCTCCTTATGGCTTATATCCAAGTGACTTTTTATTACAAGGGGTCATTCCTCTTTTCATTTGAATCTACATACTGAAATGTGACTTGGTTTTCACCTACAGTATTTTGGAAGTAAAATTTCAGAATAAAATTTTTTAAAGTTATTGGAGGATATTAAATATGATTTATGAAGTAAAACTGCATAAAATTTTAAACTTGCTAAAGTAAATTTGTATATACCCAGCATATTGCTAGAAATGAGCTTATCTCCATTATAAGCATTTTTACAGTAAAAAAGCAGCATTTAGGAGCATAAGCAAGTCTTTTATCTGGCTAATTTATAATATATAATATTTTACCAAATTAAAATTGTGGGCTTTTTATTCACTTAGACATCAGTAGATAAAAATTAAGTGTATCTCTTTAATGTTATATTTAAAATATTACTACTAAAACAATAGTGTATAAAAATCATGGATTTGTGCTTCACATTCATAAGAGAGAATTTAGATAGTTGAGTTAGAAACTGAAAAGCATGGTGACTGAAAAGGGGGCAGTTCTTTCTCAGCAATGCTTCCACTTATTTACTCCTAAGCAGGTGATATTCAAAATATTCAAAATTGTAGAATAGATAAACAAGATTCACTGTATAGCACAGGGAAATATACACAAAATGTTATGATAACTCAGAAAAAAATGTGACAATGAGTGTGTATATGTCCATGAATGACTGAAAAATTGTGCTGAACACTGGAATTTGACACAACATTGTAAAATGATTATAAATCAATAAAAAATGCTTAAAAAAATATTTAACAACTGGTCACAGGCATTGATCAAAGAGAACAGATATACCTGGTATACCCACTAGCGCCCAGTCTCTTGTGAGAAAAACAGAATGACGTTTCATATAAATGATTTCTAGGTACTTCTCAAGGGATAGGTAATTAGGAAAGATCTTATACCCCAGAGGGAAAAGTGAGTTCAGAGTGCTCCAGAAGTCAGTTAAGACAGTAGCTTGCCTGGTAAAAGGAAGATTTTCAATTTCAATAGTGAGAACAAATTTTCTGCCCCTGACAACTCTGCCTAGTTTGGCTTATCTTCATTTGCTAAGGTTATTTAATTAAGAGATGTCCAATCCTGGAAAAGGAGTCAGCATTACGAATTTAAGGGGAAAATCAGGAAAGGAGAGTAAAAAATGGAAATGTGCTAGAATTAAAGAACTCTATATTCTGGAGTTAATAGTGGTTATTAGTTAATTTAAATGACATATATTACAGAAAACATGATTTTAAAAAATCAATGGGTTTTCATACAATCTATCCATCTTCCAAGATAACATATTCTGAAATTTTGATACTCTCCTTAATGCCAGATAGTCCCATCAAATAAATATTTAAAGGCACGCCATAGTATAAACCTACCTAGTGCAAAATCTTATTTTGGGGATTTTTCCTGAATAAATGGAATGGAAAATCTGTATTACATAGTGACCCTGCCAAATGATTTAAATTGTTTCCTCCAAGTAGTATTAGTAACTAGGAAACGGATATGTCAGTAATAAACATACAGGTCTTGTCAGTAACAATATATTAATCTTGAGAATATGATTAACCAAGACAGCATTGCTTGACAAATGCCAAAGTCAGGAACTTTAAAGTAAGTCACTACCTAAAAGCAAGCACTGAATTATACTAGTTATTGCCACTAAATTTGAAGAACATGATTTTGGATCATGATCTTATGAAGAAGTTTTAAGATAATATTCATAGTCATATATTAAAGGAAATGTTTCTGCTCCAGATATGTGGTCTTTTATAAAATTAAAGAAAAAAACTGTCCTCACAAAGAGTTGAGGTTTTGTTTGGTTGCTTTTTGGCTTTACCAAATATATCCAGTTAATCAAGTATTATTTGAAATTCAAACTCCCATCAGTAAATTATAGATAACTTTAAGAAATCAGAAGAATATACTAATAAGGATAATTCAGGTAAGTCCAGGTTTTTCTGGTAGCATTAGTTTAATTTAAAATTGTTCTCATTACTAATCAGCTCAGATGGCTAGCTGTCTAATCTGTAGTCCCAGATTTCTTAAAACGCATTGGTGTATTAGTGGTAGACTAAAATGAAATGAGTTGTCATATTACAGTTACATTTAAAATAGGTGCATTCACAACCTAATTAATTTTTAACTGACTCATCCCTAGGATATTCAGATAATGAAATAAACTTTTTTGTTACTGAGACACAATAAAGGGTTTGTGACTTTTTTAAACTCTATTTATGTCTTCTGTTGAATTTAGTAGCAGACAGGATTAAAATGTACTCTGTCTGGGCCTCTAGGCAATTGCCAAAAGTAAAGGACCCTACTTTCCAGTAGTATACTTAAGCTATAAAATAGTTTTTGTTCAGATTTGGAATTGTCCTTTGCCTGGTGACATATGTTCAGATGAAAACTACATTGGAATTTTTCTTATCCTCTGCTGTACTGCATATTTCAAATGAGAAGCAAAGCTAAATGATTAGTGAAGTTGCTTCTTTCAAATCAGGAATGTTCTAAAGGGACCATTTTGTTGTGTTTTATGTTTACAGAAAGTGTACAAACAGGGTGTTTATCTACAACCCCAGAAAAGGAGATTGGAAAGATCTGGCTCCAATGAAAACCCCTCGTTCCATGTTTGGAGTGGCAGTCCATAAAGGCAGAATTGTGATTGCTGGAGGTGTCACTGAAGATGGTCTTTCAGCTTCAGTTGAAGCTTTTGACCTTGTCACCAATAAGTAAGCTACTATATCTTACTACAGTGTATGAATCACTGTACTTTTTATTTTTAATTATGGATAAAAATTAAGCTTTCTAATTAGCACATGGGGAGAGGAGGGCAGGGAATCAAGGACTGAAGTAGTATCTTATTTGGGGTTTCTTTTGCTGGTACAGATAGGAAACACCTAACATCTTGATGCATTATATGTGTTTGTAATTTGGAACACACGACCCTTAAGTTAATGTGGAGTGATAAATTTGTTCTTACTTGTTGTTAGCTTTGTGAATTTAGTCATGCAAAGGTAACACTTCTGAATAATTATATACACAGAGACAGATATACATGTCTCTGCAGGGATATTTGATTTGAAATTTAAGGATGAAAAGACCCATGTAGTTTGTGAAATTTGTAAAGCATGAATGTTTCAGATGTTTAATTCTTTTATGTTCTTTATAACTGTCTTCAAATTTTCACTTTTAAGCTTGTATGGCTTAAAATTAATGTGAAAAGATATTTGACAGATGTTCTTTATATAGAATTAGTCTTTTTCAAATTTTTGAGCTCACACATTTGGATGAGTATATAGTTTTTATACTCCTAGTTTAGCAATGAAGAAAAAATTAGAGCACTATTATTACTTTTTTAAGGAACAATGTATGCCTGATTATAAAACAGACTTTAGTTAATCTGAAAATCATAAGGAAGTTTTATGGAATAAGATTTTTATGATCATTAAAAATTATGTTTTTGAAGACTATGTAATGTAGGTAAACATTTGTAAGAAGTTAAAGAAGCAGCACACAAAATTGTAAATACTCTATGTTCTTAGTTTTGTTCATAGGTATAGATAGATGTTTGTATTTAAATTTGTATGCTTTTTTAAAAATGACAAAATTACACCAAAATATTGTTTATAATTATGTCTGAAGGACATGATCATGGGTGACATTCATCATCTTCTATACTTTTCTATATTTTCCAGATTTTTCTACTATGTACATATATTATTTTTATAATTAGAAAAATGTTTAGAGAAAAATTATGAGGGCCATCTTTAACGTCAGAGTAATGGAATAGAGAGCTATCAAAATGACTAACTCATTCTAGAGTCTTGATACTCCCCAGCTAATTTGATTGTGTCTTTAGTTGTCCTGTTTCATATAGCTATTAACATTAAAATGTTCCCTTAAATCCTTTATTGAAAAGGATGAAATATAAGTCATTCAAAAGAAAATTTCCAACCCTAGTTTCTAAACTATCCTTCTCATATGCTTATTAAAAAGGGTTTGGAGATTTCTTGAGAAATGATGATTAGAGTTTTTAAAAATTTGTATTAGCATTCAAGTAAAATCCAACACAGTAGGACCTACAAGCCCTAGAACTGCCCCCAAAACCCCACTGTTTATGGCACACAGTTTGATAACCACTGCTGAAGGTGCTAACTGATGAAGGTAAAATATTCTAGGATTGACATACTGAGGGCTTTAAAATCTAATCTGGTACTTCTTTCAAATAAAGGGACATTTAGATATTCTCCAATAGCAAATTTAATCTTCTAGTTTTGGATGCCTATGCTACTTGAATTTTTAAATTATAATTTCCTATAATTGTTCAGTAAGTACCTTTGGCATTTTAAAAAGTTTTACATTAATTGTATTTTCTGTAACTTTAATAATTCCCAGATGGGAAGTAATGACTGAATTTCCCCAAGAAAGAAGTTCCATCAGTTTGGTCAGCCTGGCTGGATCTCTGTATGCCATTGGTGGTTTTGCCATGATTCAGCTGGAGTCCAAAGAGTTTGCACCCACTGAAGTCAATGACATATGGAAGTAAGTTTTCTTCATTCCAATTTTATGAACCAAGTGTTAAGTCAAATAACTGATAAACAATTTTGAATTAAACAGTGAGCCAGACTTTCCCAAAATGTATGCTACTTCTTGGTAATAGACTGAACACTTTTTGAACCTAACTGAACTTTTACACATGCTACTTACTTAATCAAGTATTGCTTCTAATTAGCTGTGAGGTTGGGAAAGAACTTATTGGGGCCCATTCTTAATCAGTAAATTAGAGTTGGACGACTGATCCTCACGTTTTCTAGCTTTAAAAGTATAAAGCTCTAGGCATCCAGTAGAGCAAAGGCTACCTCCAAACCTCTTACCTTTCTACCTGAGTATTTTATTTCCTAAGAAAAGAGAGTTCTGAAGAAATATTTAACCTCTTGAGTTTTCCATGAATTCATTAATTCTATTTTGAATCTAATTTAAATAGTTTTCCAATTTTTTGAGAATTCAGTTATAAAAGCTTTTTTATGAAAAAGAAAAGTGAAAAGTAGCAATCCATTTGACCTCCCAGATAGGTGCTGGGCAGATCTCCCACATATGACAGTTGAAGTTGTTACTCAATTGAACTGTTTTATAGTTAAGCTTAAAATGAATGTATTTTAAAAGAAGGTGTGTGTGTGTGTGTATGCATATGTGTGTGCATTTTGCCGTAGTTTCTAATGCAGTGAATGTCATATAGAAACCAGTATATCCAGAAGTCTTGGGAGCAGAAGTGTACCTTGTGTCATGGAGGAGAGTCACACAGTCGGGGCAGGGCATGTGGTATACAGATATTTGGTCACCTTCAGGACACCACATGTGTTTGCTGAGTGGTCCATGCTGCCTTCAGTCCAGGCACTGTGCTTGCTAATCTAAGTTTACAGGAGGTAGATCTCAGTTTCCTGAGGTGAGCATGAGTTTCTGCTGTATACTCATTCAGAAGCTGCCAAACTTATGCTTTACCTCTCATCTTAAAGGCCAGCCCCAGTCCCAAGGCTGGATGCCCTTACCTGGCCTATCACCAGATTGTCCAGAACCTTGGAACTCAAAGTTTGGTCTGTGGACCACCTGTGTTGGCATCTTCTGGGAACTTCTTAGAAATGCAGAATCCCAAGGCCCACCCCAGACCTACTCATTGAGAACCATTTAAATGAGATTCCCAGGTGATTTGCTTGCACATTTAAGTGTAAGTACAGCTTTGGAAGAGTGATCAGTGAAGGCATACCACTAAGCCTGAAACTAGAACGTGGATAACATATGTTCCATACCTGAACCAGTGATGCCTTATTCCCAGCTGTAAGGCTAACAGGCCCATAGCTTAACCAGTTATGGTTGAGACATCATTTCCTTATGTTGTTGTAATAGTAAGTATCTGTGTAGAGGGCAAGAAAAAGTGGCTATAAAAGATTTCCAGGGAGGAAAGAGGTCAGGTTTAGCAAGATGGTGAGAGATGGGGGGAGACTGGAAGCAACAGAAAAAAGGATAAAATAATGAAGGGCTGGGAAGGTTAGGGTTTTGGGAAAACAGGGATAGGTACCAAGAGTGAGTAGGCAAATCACTTGGGATGCTCTTAAAGTATACCAGTGCCTGGACCTTCATGCAGACCAGTTAAATCAGAATTTCTGCATGTAGGGCCCGGGCATGAGTATTTCCTAAAACCTTCCCGGATTATTCTAATGTGCAGCAAGAGTTGAGAAACACTGATGTTAAGGAATAGTGCTATCAGCTGAACGCCACATGAGCCACTCTGGTTCCTAATGGTGGTCAAAAGCCATGTTGCTTCAACAGGAGGAAATTGTAGGCAGCAAAGGGAAGTATAACATCTCCTGCTAAGAGTAGCCCTTATATGGCTGAGGGCAGCCTGAATGAGGGATTCTCTCTCATTATGGTTTCTTTTGTGATTTGGGCAGTGGTTTTCAAACTTGCTTGCTCTTTGGAATCACCTAGGGAACTTCAAAAAGTACTGACACCTCTGTCCCATTTCTGTTGATTGTGATTTAATTGATCTGGGGTATGGTCTGGGCTTTGGAACTTTCAAAAGATTCCCTGGATGATTCCAATGTACAGATGGGTTTGGGAACCACTGAATTTGGGAAAGGCAAGAGGGAGCATTCATCATTATCTGCTTGGCTATAAAATTTTAAATTTAGGTAGAATTATTTTCCATTTGGTTAATAAACTTTGGAGCAACTTTAAAAAATCCTTATGCCAAGGCCATACTCCATACCAGTTAAGTCAATCTCTAGGCATGGGACTCAGGCATTAGTATTTTTAATGTCTCCAGGTGGTTCCAGTTTGCATGTCAAGCCTGAAAACCAGTGATCTGCAGTGGTCCCAAGGAAGCATCAGCACCACCTGGGTACTTGTTATTTTCAGCCTCACCTCAGACCTGCTGAAACTCTGTGGGTGGGGGCCAGCAATCTCTGTTCTATTTTAGGGAATCTCTATTCACACATGCAGAGATGAAAATAAGAGATGAAAACTATCAGTGTACCATATTTTGTACCTATAGACCCTCCTACTATGATATGAAAATTTTTTTTTCCATTTTCATATTTTTTCTTGAAATTATTCCATTATTTAGGATTGGCTAAGCTGAAAGGAAAAATATATAACTGTCAGGAAGCAAATGTTTAAACTTCGTTTAACCTCAACCTCTGCTTAAATGTGGTCACTTTTTTGTTAGGAGATTCAAACCGTTCTTTATCGAATTTAAATTGTTACTACAAATTTATATAGATAATTAAGATTCTTTCCTTTATTAGCAGTAAAATATTTTGTCTACTTTTCTGTATATACAAATCACTCAGTGCACAATAACTGTTAAAGAGAATTAAATTTGGTCCATTATTGAAATTAAGTCAGATAGCACCTATCTTACATAGGCATCAGCTGATTTTAAAAATTACCATTTTAAATCTCATTCACTCATCATAGAACTATTTGGGGGTATTTCCTATGTGCCAAGTATTAATAGATGCTAAGGTAAATAAGATTCATTACTTGCCTTCAAAAGAAACTTTGAACTTGTTGAGGGCATAAATATAGGGAAAAAATTAAAACAGAATGAGAATTGCTATAATAGATACTATATAAGGGACAATGAGAGAAATAAAGAGAAAGCAACAAACTTCTTGAGGAAGGCAAGAAAGGCTTCAGAAAGAAGGCAGAGATTGGGAGTTTCTCATGCAAAGACTGCATTCCAGGCACTAGGCAGAGGAGAGGCACACATTTCAAAGGAATTCAAGTCGTCTGCATCTTTAAAACCCTGAATATTCAGAGAGGATGACCAGGTCTTTCCTAATGTCAAGTGCAAAGTCTAAGAGTAGTCACATAAGACAACAAAGGGGGAGAACAGCTTCTTACACAGTGCCCCACTAGTGTCAGGCATCATCCTGGGCACCTGTGGATGGGAACAACTGAAATCATAATCAAGGTGACTAATAGACCCTGCTCTTTCCAGTTCTTACTCTTTGCTGATCTTGGCTCACAGAGACCAGCCATCTTTATCAGTCCAAAGATGAATGATGAACTGTCTAACAATTTATTATTCCTCATCTTTGGACAGGCTTTGATTCCCAGAAAAGGCTTAACTGCCTAAGCATCCAGATTAAATACAGTGCCAGTAGTTCGGGAATATGCTCAGAGAATGCATATTCTGGGAGGAATTCAAGTGTTATTCTACCAGTCAAGTGTATCCTCCTCTGGGTAAAAGACAGTAGGGTTTTCTCAAAGAACCACATTTGTGTATTTAACACAGGGAAATCTATAGAACTATCTCTCAAAAACTATTGATTTCTTTTTTTTCTCCATTAGGTATGAAGATGATAAAAAAGAATGGGCTGGGATGTTGAAGGAAATACGTTACGCTTCAGGAGCTAGTTGCCTAGCAACACGGTTAAATCTCTTCAAACTGTCTAAACTATAAACAAGAAGGTGAAAAAACGTAATAGACTGGGAGGTGGTCTGTTTGGATAATAGGGCTTTAATATATTGTTTTTAAAAAGCCTATACAGAGATTCACGTAGAAATTATTCACTGTGTTACTGTCCAAGAGATTAGCAGTGGGCATCAAAACCTCAATCAAAGTCATTGAATCTTCAATGTAATGATCAGAGCCTAAAACCACTTTCTATTAAGAAATTAAATATTAAATTGAACAGATTATTTCTTTTGTTAATCAGTCTCAATCAACTGTAAAGGAGCTTCCTAAATCTGAATTATTTTCTAATCCTTTCATTTCCATTGCTAAGATATCTTTACACTCATTTTCTATTACAAATGAAATTGGAGAATGAAACATGTACATCTACATTTTTAAAAATGTTTAAAATAGCAAAAATCTTTCCCTGTGTTTCAAGATATGACAAGAATTCTGTGCATTAAAGATTATACGTCGTGAGAAAACTTTGGAAATGCTATTTGAGGAATATAATAAATGGGTATCATTTGAAGGGGAAAAGTCTCTAAGTAAAAAGTCAAATTCAAGTTGTCTTTTTTCCTCCATTCTTTTTGCGACACTAGTATATTGTTTGTCATTTAAATCAAATTGAAAACTTTAAAAATATAAAGCCAATAAATCACATTCTTCAATTTATTAACTGCAGTTTCTGTGGTAATAGTATTGGGAGGTGTCCTTAGGAAATGGATTGATTCTTCCACTGCTGGGGCAGAATTTGGGGCCAGTGGGTGATATGGAGGAGGGTGTATATTCATTGGTTTAACTTTTATCTATTCTTTCAATGAAAGACCTACCTGTCAGCAAATTTCTGATAGAAAGAAAGGTGACTGTTACTCCATTTTCTGGGATGTGAAACCCTACATTCAAGCTGTTTGTTCTTAGTGTACACAGCAAGTTGACGCCTCAGTCTGTCCAAAACCATCACAATCAACTCTCTGCAAGTCATCAACTAATTATCACTCAGTATCACTAAACACACGTGCTTTCATAGACATGTTTGACTGCCATCCTTATATATGTTATTTTCTGAGAAGCTTGACTTGGAACTAATTTGGAGTATTCCATTGTTACGTGTCAAGCAACTGCATAAAGAATATGAGTGTTCATACAGCTGTATTTTCTCTACCATACTTTTTACCCCTTCTTCTTTGAAATGCTTTCTCTACCTGGTTTCTAGGAAGTATATTACTCCTTACGATTATTCCTTCTACCTCCTGCCCAGATCTCCCCTGGGCCACCCCTGCCCAGTTTCCTTTTCTGGTTCTACTTGTTGACCTCAAGATGGGGTGCCTGAACCTCCGTCTTCACACCTGACCTCTCCTCCATTCACCCTCTCTTAGGGATTTCATCAACTATCATCGCATGAAATACTTCTGTCAATTTACAAATTTATATCTGAGGCCTGGACCTCTCCCATGACCTCCAGACTCATTTACTGAATTGTCCATTTGATATCTCCACTTGGATATTTAAAAGGCATCAAAAATTCAACATGTCTAAAACCAAACTCATGACCTCCTCCCATGGCCCACTTTCCTCTTTCCATAGACTTCCCCATCTCAGTCATTGGCAGTGACACCTTTTTAGTTCCTCAGGACAAAAACAGAATTATCTTTGACTCCTCTCTCTCATACCACATTATCCAATCAGCTATCAAATGCTGTTGCCTCTGCCTTCAAAATGCATTAAAAAATTTGACCACTTCTTTTTACCTCCACTGCTACTACTCTCTCCGAGCCACCATCCATTTCTTGTCTGGATTATTGCAAAGAACTTTTAACAGGTTTCCCTGCCTATACACTTGCCCCACTATAGTCTTTTCTCATCATCTCAACAGAGTAGCAAAAGTGATCAGGTTCAAATATGAGTTCTTATTTCTTTGCTAGAAACTCCCAGTAGCCTCTCATCTCACTCAGGGTAGTCATCAGGTAATGTATATTTGACACTGTTATCTTTTAATATACTTCCAACCCCCACCTCCTACTTGTTCTGCTCCAGCCACAATGCATTCCTTGCTATTTTCAAACATGCCAGGAATATTTCCACCTCTGGATCTTTGCAGCTACTGGTCTTTCTGCCTAGAGTACTCTACCCGTAGATAGCTCCTTAAGTCTTTACTCAAACATCCCCTCAGTGAGCCTTTCCCAGATTGCTCTATGTGAATGACACCTACCCACAATATTCTTATTGCCCCCCCACCTCGGTCCAAATTCTTCTCCGTAGCATTTAATATCATCTAAGGTATAATGAATTTTATTCATTTATTTTGTTTGACTCAACCCATGAAAGATACATTGTACTCACTGCAGCATCCCTCATCTAAAACAGTTCCTGGCACATAGTATGCACTCAAAGAATGAACTGTAAACAAGTTAAGTTTCTTAAAAGCTACATGTGTTTTATGTTAAGAATTTTAAAACAAGAATTTTAAAACAATTTCCCAACCAGATAGTAGGGAAAGTATTCCATTGTAAAATGTGTTTATAAGCTATTCAATTGACCCTGAAATCAGTCAATTCTACACTATTAGTGTTTGAGTCAAGCCACTTAATTAAAATAAGTTCAAATATGACACACCATGATAACTAATTCTAAATAAAAACTACTATCATGATTTGCCTTCTCCAAATATCTGTTCTCTCAGGTAGTCCATCCGAGCATCCTTTGTTGACCGTGCCATAGAATTCCATTCAAAATGAGGGATCTGTAAAATAAGTAATGCAGTATGAATGAAAGTTTTAAAGCAACAACAAAAAACATCAGGGAAGACTTCTAAGCATACTGAGCAGAGCTCTAAGAACCCTAAGACATTAGTTTACATAAGCATAGCCTTTGAATGCTTTTTGGAAGCCAAGTGGGTCCTTCTTCATGGCAACACCTGGAAGACCCTTTTCTGCCTCACAGCTTCTTTCATCCTCCTCTTCTTACAATACCAACAATGGACATTTTTTCCCATTTGTCTTTCTCATATTTATACACTAGTCTTTCTCAACAATGCTATCCTACCTTTATTGTAAGATAAATATAAAAATCAAGAGGTCTTTTAGAGACAATTTTTTAAAAGATTTTTATTTACTATTCTTCAAAAAAAAATACAGGGTGTTTTGTTTCTGAGATTTTTAATATAACTTTTTTTTAATATTAAAAAAAAGATAATTCTACAACTTTCACATTGAAAGGGGACACATGTACAACCAGTGTCTCTGGGTTTTTTAGAGGCTGAATTATGTAAGTATTTCATACCTGAATTACACGATACCCCAAAATTTCCAAATGTCGTTTTTTCATAGCAGATTTTCCTTTTAAATGAGGGATGTTTCTACAAAATGCTCTCGAATCCAAAAATTCCAAAGCAATCCTACATGAGATAAAAATAAATATTTACTTCTGAAATTAAATAAGAAACTGAATAATTATACACCTTCAGGAACAAGGTTGCATTTTTATAAACTAAAAAAACCCAAATGAATAAATGAGTATACCAAATTATTTTTCTATTTAAATTAGTAATTAATGACAAGTGATCCTACTCATTAGAATTAAACCAAATTATAGTTAAGTATTTGCATGCTTTCATCTATTTGGTTTTTGTCCAATACATATTTATTATGCACCTACCATATGTAAGGCACTGTGAGGGATAGCAGAATAAAGAGAGACCTTATAATTGAACAGAGAACATATAACATAGTTACTGTAATGCAGTGTCAGAAACAGCTATGTGCTATCAGAAAAGTAGGGAGGCATGGGAGGTCCAAAGAAGATAATATTTACTTCCACTGAGGACAACTTGAAGGTTAGCTCTTTAGAGACCACTAGACTTCAGACAGTGAAGGATGGACATTAAGGCAGAAAGGCACAAGAAAAGCAAAGATGTCAGTAGAACACATGAAGTACATGAGCAGATTCTACTATAATCAATCCTTGATAGCTGAGTTCATTAAATTATAACACATTTAACATTTAGATAACAAAATCTGAAACTGAGAGAGTTACTTTTCAGCTCCTGGTGGCAGTCTTGATCCAGTTATTTGAGTATTTGATTCCAAGTACATTTTTGGAAGTTTTTCCAAAGTTATATTATGGCTTCCATATGGAAGAGGTTTTTTTCTTTTATCCAAGATACACTCAAAATCTATAAGGAAGTACAAGAATAAATAGTATGAATTAGATACACTCTTACAGGTCAAAATTTAAGATATATTTTAAATACATATACAGGTATGTACACGTACACACACACACACACACACACACAGAATAAGGTACTTCACTAATTATCCAACTTATTTTATACGGTCTAGTACAAGAGCGCCTCTTTGAAAATCAATCAATAAAAATCAACCAGCAAGTATTATTAAACTATCGTATAGCACAGGGGCTATATTTAGCTCTGCACTAGGCCAAATCACATTAAGGAGTTTTATTTTAATCCCCTTAAATCTCTTGGTCACAATTGGAGGAAGCTAAAGCAACTCATGTGAAAATTGGTAAAGACAAAGATTCAAGCATGTATCCTCGTCCTTCCTGCACATACGGTAACTAAATAGCTGATGCAGGGAAGTTCTTTTCAGGCAAATTCCAACTAATAAATGCAGAAGAAATGATAGATGTGGAATATCACTACTGCGTCATCCTGAAGAATGATGGATTTAGGCAATAATTTTAATGGCTGCTAAAATCAGTAGGTGAAAAGCTGATGGGAGAACTTCCTAATGGGTGAGCTGATGACATACAAACACACTGATGAGCCTTAATATAGTAAAAAGAATACAACCAGAATCATATGTCTTCTGACAAGATGCAGTAAGAAGCACATACCACCTGTGAAAGAGCTGGCCAAAAACTCCCCACTAAACTTAATCTAATTAAAACTCTAGATCTAACTACTGGTTTACAGGAAAAACAGGGGATGCAGGAGCATGTTGAATGACACCACAGGGTTGAAACTGGAAAAGTCCAAAATATGAAAAAAATTTTTTTTCAATAAATAAATTGTAAGGGGAAAAAAGAGAGAAAGTAGAATGTAAAAAGACAAATCAAATGTATAATCTGGATCCCAATTTTAACAAAATAAAACATATAAAAGATAATTGAGACATTTGAACATTGATAAGCTATGTAACACTAACAAATTCTTATGAATAATTGTAGGGGTGAAAATGATAGTACTGTGGTTATGTATCCTTTTAGACATACATTCTGAAATGATATATTATCTGTGACCTGCTCACGGGATCACGTGGGACTCTGGTTAGTTAAGTGTTGATAATTTTTGATGCTGGATGGGGGTTCATTATACTATTCTCTCTATTTTTGTATGTTTGAAATTTTTTCATAGTAAAAATAATCATAAAAGTATTGAAATCAAGGCAAAAAAGAAAAATGAAAAAAAATGAATGAAAAGGAAGAAAGAATAGGTTTAATTACCTACTTTTTACATATAAGGGAAACTGGGGAACTGAAGCATCTTTCAGTCAATTATCAAACATGAAACACAGTTTTCTCATTAAAAGAGTGAATTCTGGAGCTAGAATGCCTAGGTCACCCCGGCTTTGACATTTGTCAGCTATATAACCTTGGGCAAACAACCTCTAAGTTTCCTATCATAAACCTAAGTTTCCTTATCATAAAATACAACTATTTGTGAACCTTAGAGGGACATAATAAATGTTTATTATATATAAAATAAAATAATATCTAACATAATAAGGAAAATGTAAGTGTATCAATTACTATTGTTGTTTTCATATGAAATTGCAGCATTGTTTTTGAAAGATGCAAATACCAGCAAAAAACCTTAATAAATCATAGCATACTCATTCACTGAAAAATTAGGCAGTCATTAAAAATCTTGTATATTTGTTGGCATAGAAAAATATTCACAATATATAAACAAAGTTACAAATACTATAAAATAAGCCTTTTTTGGTTTTTAAAAAGTCAGAACTTTAAAAAATATGTATTGCTTGTAAACATGAACATGTATTGCTTGTAAAATTAGAAAGAAAACAACAAATATCATTGAAAATGAAAAAAAAAAGTTGGAAAGAGAACAGACACTAAAAGTAAAGATTTTCCTTTTTTTGTTATCTGTCCTTTCTGGTTTTTCTATAAGCATGTGTTAGGTAGCATATAAGTGAGTGTTTTTTTTAATACCTTAAGCAATGCTCCCAATCCCTAGTTCTTAATCATACTATTGTATTATCATAGGTATACCATATCCTTACACACAAATATTACTGATTAAATCTTACGTTTAATGATTTATATATTTTTTCACATACAAATAAGCCTCTTGACAGCATGAGGTACAAATATGAATTGGAATTACAATGGGCTTGGGATATAATAATCCTAGTTTCAGTCCTAATTACATGTGTTACATGTAATTTTTCCCTTCTTTTCACTTTTATGTATTTTCCAAATGTTTTACAATGGATATATAATATTTCTAGTTTGAAATAAATATCAGCAAAACAAATAAAAAGAATAAAATGTGCTAAGAGGAATAAAGAGCCAGCTGTCACGCCTATCCTAAAGTTGGTGCTCTGTAATTTTAAATTATTATGAAATGGGATTACAGACTCTTTTTACATTCATATTGTAGTGCCTTTTCTTCTGTGAGCATTACTTATAAGGAGTATATTTATCTTTTAAAAAAATTTTATTCTTTTTTTTTTATTAAAGTATAGTCGATTTACAATGTTAGTTTCAGGTGTACAGCAAAGTGATTCAGTTATACATATACATACATAAATATATGTATTTTTCAGTTTCTTTTCCATTATAGCTTATTACAAGAAAGTGAATATACTTCCCTGTGCTATACAGCAGGTCCTTGTTGTTTCTCTATTTTATATACAGTAGTGTGTATCTGTTAATCCCAAACTCCTAATCTATCCCTCCCTGCCTTTCTCCTCTAGTAACTATAGTTTGTTTTCTATGTCTGGTTTGTAGGAGTATACATCTTTTAAACAGCACAGTTAAACAGGAGTGTATCTGTCTTTTAAAGTAACTTTGGCAGAGACGGCAAATTGTCACCCAATACCTAACACTTCCCTTCACTGTTAATAAGAGTCCCTAAATCTTAGCTGGGTACATGGCCACCCAAATAAAAACCACATTTTCTTCAAAACTACAATGAGATATCACCTCACACTAGTTAGAATGGCCATGATTAAAAAGTCCACAAACAATAAATGCTGGAGAGGGTGTGAAGGGAACCCTCCTACACTGTTGGCGGGAACACAGTTTGGTGCAGCCATTATGGAAAACAGAATGGAGATTCCTTAAAAAATTAAAGATAGATTTGCCATACGATCCAGCAATCCCACTCCTGGGCATATATCTGGAGAAAACTCCAATTAAAAAAGATAAATGCAAAAAAAAAAAAAGATAAATGCTCCCCAATGTTCATAGCAGCACTATTTACAATAGTCAAGACATGGAAACAATCTAAATGTCCATGAATTGATGACTGGATAAAGAAGATGTGGTGTATATATATATATATATATATATATATACACACACACACAAACACACACACAATGGAATACTGCTCAGACATAAAAAAGAATAAAATAGTGCCATTTGCAGCAACATGAATGGACCTGGAGATCATTATTCTAAGTGAAGTAAGCCAGAAAGAGAAAGAAAAATACTGTATCATATCACTTATATGTGGAATCTAAAAAAATGACACAAATGAACTTATTCACAAAACAGAAACGGACTCACAGACGTAGAAAACAAACTTACTGTTTCCAGGGGTTAAAGGAGTTGGTAAGGGATAAATTAGGAGTTCACAATTTACAGATACTAACTACTATACATAAAATGATAAACAACAAGTTTTCACTATATAGCACAGGGAACTATATTCAATATCCTGTAGTAACCTATAGTGAAAACGAATATGAAAAGGAATATGTGTATGTACATGTATGACTGAAACATTATGCTGTACACCAGAAATTGACACAACATTGTAAACTGTGCTTCAATTTAAGAAAAAGAACTCCCCCTACCACATTTTCTTTTTTCTTTCCTTTTTTTTTTTAATGGAGGTACTGCGGATTGAACCTAGGACCTTGTGCATGCTAAGCACGTACTCTACCACTGAGCTATACCCCTCCCATCTAAAAACCACATTCTCTAAACTCACTTGCAGGCAAGTGTGGCCATGAGGTATAATTTAAAATGGTACTGCAAGCTTAGGTAACTATGCTTAAAGGGGCACCCTTCCTTTTCCTTCCCTCTTGCTTGGATTGTAGATGTGTTGGCTGAAGCAGAAGCAGCCATCTCAGACCACGAAGTGGAAGCTACATGCTGAAGATGGGTAGACATGATAAAGTACAAAGATCCTGGATCCTTAATGTCTGTGCAGCTGGCATCCCAGCCCTGGACACCTTATGTGTAAGGAAGAAGGAAATAAACTTTGTTAAGTTATTGTTATTTGTGGATTTTTGTCACTCATAGGTAAACCTAATCCTGACTAATTTAAAACCAAACAACTGAGAGTATGTGTTCGGTAGTGCAAGATGAGGGTATTAACGACCATCTGGGTCAGCCTCCTGCCAAGCACAGAAATCTCACACACACATACACACACCCCACCATCTGATCAGCCTCTGCCTGAACACTTCTTCTTCACAAGGCTTTGACAAGTCTTTCATAAAATTCTCCTTATACTGAGTTAAAATCTGCTTACTTTAATTTTTTTACCATTTTTTTACCCTTGAGATAGAGACATCTAATTCTTCTTTCACAATAATAACCCTTCAAACATTTTAAAACAATTATGTTTACCATAAGACTTATAGTTTTCAGACTAAACATTTCTACCTTTCTTAAAATAAAATTTATTGAACACTAAGTTCAAAGGGTAGTGCTAAGCACTTTTCATGCAATATTTCAGTTAATCCTATTAAGGAAATATTATTATTCCCATTTCACAGAGGAAGAAACTAATAAGGTTCAGAGGTTTAAGAACTTGCTCAAGGATTGAAATCCATGAAGTCCCAGTCCTCCCTTGTTCTAAGACATGATTTCCTTTGTTTACTTGTCACTGTTTTTCATAAAATGCAATACTCAAAAAAAGAATACAATACTAAGATGTGTCTGAAGAACAGAATACAGTGGGACTATGGATTTTCTTGTTATTACTAATAATATGGTTTGTAATAGTATTTGACGTTGAGCAGCCATTTTCATTATTAATGTATATCAAGCTTCTAATCCTTTAAAACATCCTGTATATATGCAGATGTCTTCTAAACTTAAATTTAGAAGGCTTTTTAATCCTCTTAAAATCTCACTTTTTCACTTAAACCCACTATTTGAATTTAGCAAACTTTAAAAACTCTTATATTGCCAACCAGTATATCAGCTAGCCCATCCGCTTTCTATTATTCACAATTAAATCAGGATACCTTCTACTGCTAGACCACTGAGAAACAAGGTTACCTATGTTTGGGTTGAGCACATACCTATGGAAATCTCTGTCCAGGTGGATATTCTAATTTAGTTTTTGAAATGAACTTAAAACAAGGAAATTGAGGTGCGAAGTCATTTCCTGACTTTACCTCACTGAGTGAAGAGAACAGAATCTTTTGAAGATCCAGAAATGTTCAGTGAATCTGAATCTGGTTTCAATTAGAACTGGTGAAAGACTGACCTTTAAAAAAATTTTTTGAAGAACAGCAAAATGCTGTTGGTTATCGAAGTTGGGCCATTGGAACTTGAGAATTCATTGTACTGTTCTTTCCATTTTTGTGTATTTGAAAATTTTCAAGATAATGAAAAAATTCAAATAAACATTTTAAAATTCCAACTGAGGAGATAATTCCATTTAGAATAGTTTGATCTTCTGAAAGTAGCTAGTAACCTCCCGAAGACTTACCAATCGTGTAATAATAAGGTGTAAGAACCGAGGCTTTCACAAAATTGATTCCTCCTAGTATCTCCGCTAACATTTGATAAATCTGCTGCTGTGCTCCATTCATGCTGCCAGTATCTTTAGGAAAATAAAATAATTAGTTCATTTAAATTAATCAGTTTTTGAATGAAAATCAACCCAAGGCTAAAACTGAAAAATAAAGATTAATATTTCCAACAAGAGCTTCAATGTAATACAATAAGCAGTGATACTAAATTCAGTACAAGTTCTTTGGCTTTCAACCAAAAGAGGTTGTGTCCGAAGTATTAAGAAATTCATACAACACATATCTCATCTACAAAATGTTCCCATTATACAGGTCATGGCTGTCTTGGGAACTCTGGTGTCATGGTTAGGTTTAACAATAATAAGAGTGCACTACCTAATAATATACCTCAGAATTAAGCTTTACTTTCTGACCCAAAGAAAACTCAAACCTTTATTATACTGTTGTTGACAGAATCGGTCGTGAAACCATGGAATCTGATATTCAGGACATTCCAAGCAGACTGCTCTATTTAATTCCATAAGACGAAATTGGACTCTCAGATTTAAAGATGAACGTAACACTGAAATTAAAAAATATATATTAATGGACTATGATATCTTTAACCTTGCAAAGACAATCCATTTTTCACATTCATTTATTCCCATCATTGACTGTAACTTTTATTCTCATATTATAAAATCATTTCATTTGCATATACATGCTTTGTTTTTTTTAAATTACTACATTCAGTGGCATGATTAGAACAAACACCTGTTGTTTCCAATAATTATGAATATTAAAATTACATTTTAAGAAATACTACCGAAGAATCTTCATTCACCTAATATTCCACATTTAGCACTCTATCTTAAGGAAACAAAGACAAGGGCAATGACTCATGTATAACAATCATTATTTATAGTAATGAAGAACTGAAAACAACCTACATGATAACAAATAAATTTTATTACTTCCACATAATGGCAGATTCTGTAGACACTAAAAATTCATAACATCAAAAAATATTCAATTGTTCAAAATATAGTTCAATGAGAAACGGCAACATACAAAAGTGAATATATCCAAATTTTGTTTTATATATATATATTTATAAAAACATATACATGAGGGCAGGAGAGAGACAGAATAAACACTCCAAAACATTAAAAGTGGTAGTTTCACTTGTGGTAAGGTTATGAATAATCTTATATTTTCTATTTTCTATTGTTCTGTATTCCAAATTCTCTACAATAATCAGAAATACTTTAATAAACAGAAAAAAAAACATTTACATTTAAATGCTTTGGTAAGTATATAGGTAGAGCTGAAACACGGATACAAAATACAAATGATAATTTATTAAAGTAAAATGTAGATACATACATTCAAGTTGAGAATCTAATTTGGCTAAGAATTTGATGTTAAAAATTGCCTTTTGTAGATCTTCTGGAAAATATTCAAGTGTGGCCAGAGAGAAACCAAGAAACACTAACATGAGAGGATCCAATATACCTAGAACAAAATTAAGATTAAAAAAAATTAAATGTACTGCTGTCTCACATATATATAAATACATATTTTATTCAGGTAAAACCAGGTTTTTAAAAACAGATAAAAACACAGCCTTGACAAAATTAATCTGTTATAAGTCAGGATAGTGGTAAAGTGGTTACCTCTGGATGGAGGTAGAGTAGGAGAGGGGACCAGGGGAGGAGGATACAATGCTAATATTCTGTTTCTTGAGCTGGGTGCTGATTCCTTGGGTGATTCAACTTGGATAAATTCGTAATATACATACACACATATACACACATACACACACACACACACACACACACACACACACACACATATATATATAAAGGATATGTGAATGTTTTTGTTATTTTTATACTTCCTTTAAAAGTTTTTAAAATTGCCTTGAAAACAGAAAGATTCAAAACAAAAGGTCAGTATAGTATTTAAAATAAGAAGTGATCCCAGTCTCTCTGTGTTGATGATAACAGTGCTCAGCATCTGTTAGGTATCATTCTAAGCACTTTACAAATATCACCTTATTTAAACCTCACTTCAGTGTATAGCAGGAGTGATTATTATCTCTGCTTTATGCACTGAGTATACTGAGGCACAGAGAAATTAAATGATTTGCCCTGAGTCACAGGGCTAGCCAAGTGGAGGGTCGGGTTTAACCTGGAGAGTCCAGCTCTGGATCCTGAACCACTATCTTGCGCTGCTCAGATCTCCAGGCTGAGAGTAGACACATATGAAGCTCAGGTCTCACCTAGCACCTCTTCCCTTAGCTGTCATCCAGGTGATGGTGACTGTTCCAGGGTATACAGCTTCAGGTTATGCACCTGATTTACCTCATTCAAGAGATATTTCTGATGAGAAGGAAGGGATCATCTAAAATGCCCCATTAGTAGCAATGCCCTTACAAAGGACAAAAAAAGATGTTAAATCTTTTCAATGTTTTGCTGAGTTTATTTAGTAAAGCAAGATTAATTCACAAACAAGGTTAATAATGATGATCTCTACCAGCAAAACTGGTATGTCAAAACTAACATTTACTCAAAGTAAAGAAAATTATTTATCTATTAGCTAATCAAAATTTTGCTAATATAAGGTCTCCAAGAATTTTCTAGTCTCTCAGTAAGTCTTAAAAAAAAAATCAAAGCTGTACTTTTCAACCTCTCATCTCTTGTATCTTTTATTTGAAAAGAAAAAAAAAAGTACTTTCATTTCCTTCTGGTTGTTGACACACAATTGAACAACCAGGAGAGCACATTCAAAGTCTCATCTTTCCGTATATAGTTGTGTTACTAAAAGGGGGTATATATAATGCTACACAATGCATACACCCATACACAAATAAACATACACATATCACAGTCCCAATTTACTTGTCTATTAGAGACACAGTACTAGACATAGTAAGACACGATCTGGCCTACAGATCCCACAAACACATAGAAAAGTCCAAGAACATGATACTGACACAATTGATATATTTATACTGGTCTCACACAGCCTAACTAGCGATCTACAGGTCTAGAGAAACATACCCTAATATAGAGCCTAGCACCTTATGCTGGACATAGCAGCTACTACTTAAGTATTAGTTGCTTGGTGGATGACAGAATGAGGATTTCTTACTCTTCTAGCACAGCAAAAAGCTCTGAGGAAGAGAGTCTCTGGCTGCCTCTCCAACCACTTTCCCTACCAAATCAGTCACCCTCATTCTATTCCTGCCACATTGAATCTGCTGTTCCAGAAAGAAATCAAGCATGCTCTCACCTCAGGGCCCTTTGTACTTGCTTTCTTTGTGCTGGGGTTCTCTTCCCCACCTCTGGCCATGGATCACTCTCCCACTTCGTTCAATTCATGGTCAATGACACCTCCTCCAGGAGGCGGTCCCTGACTCCTAGATCTAAAATGGCACTCCAGCCCACCCACCCCACCATCCTCCATCCTCCACACCTACCCCGCCCTAGTGTTCTTGAGTACTTATCACCACCTGACCTTATGTATTCATTTATTGTTTATACCAGTCTCACCCCACCAGAAAGTAAATTCAATGATGGTAAAGTCTATTTGTCTTTATTCTCTCCTGTATCCCCAGTGACTAAAAGACTGCCTGACAATAAAGTATTTGGTGAATGTTGACTGAAAAGGCAGTAATTGGCAAGTAAGAGGTATGGGTCTGAGAAGAGAAGCCCTGTAAATCCCTTTTCCTTGAAGGCCAAACAACCAAACAACATTCAGAACCCAAAATAAAGAATGGAAAGAAAAAATAATAATTTCCTGCCTCTGTTATCCTCACATGCTGCTTCTGCTAAGGCCAAAAGTAGGAAGGAATATTTTTATTTCACTTTTTCCAGTACTGAAACACTATGTAAAGACTTTTTTAAGAGACTCATAATAATCAGCCCCAGAGCAGCAACCTTTCCAACAATTAATAAACATCTACTAAGGACTTTAAGAAATATTTGTTTTCTACATTAAAATTAACAGAAACAGTCAAATGTTATATGTCCCTAGATGTAACACAAATATCAGGTATATAGCATCACTTATAAGGCATTTTTGCTGAAAATGTTTAATCTGAATTTAATTCAGCATCAATAACTAAATTCCAGTTTACTAGAAATACAGAAGATGGAGGAGCAAGTTAAAAGAAAGCACTCAGACAAATCCAGGCGCAATCCACAATATATGGCCAATCTCTTTTACAAAAAAATAAAGATCAAGGGAAAAAAAGGATAGGGAGAAAGTGACATAACCAATTCAACACTAGTTGCTTTTTAAAAAATTTGAGACAATTTGGTGACAACCGGGAACTTTTATTATGGACTCAGTAGGTAGTATATAGTACTTGTTCATTTTCTTAAGTGTGATACTGATATTGTATTTATATAGGAGAATGTCCTTATAACCTGAAGTATTTAGTGCTGATGCTTCAAACAGTTAATCATATACACACACATACACACACCACATATACACACAGCAAATGCAGCAAAATGTTAATCATTATTCAAAAGCTACATTGTGGGTGTACAGTATACAGATGTTTGTCACACTGTTCTTTCAATTTTTCTATGTATTTGAAAAGATAATAAAATTAGAAAAAAATAAAATTCTTTCCCTCAAGTCAGTGCAGAGCAAACAAACCAACCAAAACAAAAAGCAGAGAAGAGACTAAAGAGATAACCTAATGGAATGAGTGAAGCTTGATTGGATCCCAGGTTCAAAATAACCACTCTAAATAAGGCATTTTGAGAATAATGAGGAAGATTTAAAAGTGGATTGTGTAGCACAAGGAACTATATTCAGTATCTTGTAATATACCAGAATGGAAAAGAAAAAAATGGATTGTGTATTAGCTATCAAGGGATTTAATTTTCTTAGGTGTGAAAATAGTATTGTGGTGACTTAGGAGATCATTATTCTTAGGAGTCTGCCTAAGCAGCTAGGGGTGAGGGGTCACAACTTACAACTTACTTTGAAATACAGCTTGGAAAAAAATCAGAGAGCAAGAGAAACAAATAGTAAAGCAAAGATAATAAAATGTTCACAATTATTGATTCTGAGTTTATAGGTGCTACTTGTTCAGTTCTTTCACTTTTTAATGTGTGACATTTTTCATAATAAAAAGGTTCCAAAAATTGATCCAAAACATATTTTAAGATATAAAATTCCTGGCTATCATCATTGTCCCTTAAAAAAGAGCAACAATATCCTCCAACCTCCTCATCATTGTATTACCAAACAATATACCTACTTAAGTAAGAATTAAGGTGTTGAATGCAAGTGCCAAAAAATTCATCCTTTTGAGGTGGATCATAGTTCAAGATGCTGAATGGAAGAATTACAGCAAGGATTGCAAAAGGATGGATCTGTGTAAATAGAACAAAAAAGTTATTGTTTAAACCTCAATGAAATAAAACAAATTTAACCTAATTATTATTTTAGGTAGAAGTTTTTAACATGCCTATAGTTAAATGACCATGCCCACAGTTAAATGACATATGTATCTCTCTGTTTACTAAGTTTTCTACTTTGCTATCATCTATTTAATTCTACCACGAATTTCAAGTAACTGTAAATGTTAATGCAGAAAAAATACATCAGATAATCTACAAATTGATTTTGTTAGGTGTAAAAGCCTGTTCTAGAATCCTTTAGCCATTAAAATGCTAGAAAATAGTATCGACTAATTTCCATGACATTAGTGCATTTTAAAGAGTCATCATACAATGAAATTAAGGAAGTTTCTTAGTTTACAATAATAACCAGAATTTTTCTTTCATTCATTCACTTTTAAAATTTCATTCATTCAATACTTAATGACTGCAGGCACTTGCTAAGCAAAAAGACAGACTTTTATTTTCATTTATTAGAAATACTGCCTTCTAAGTAAAAGCTGTATCCTGATATAAACAATAGATTTTCTAAATGCTTGTCTTCTCACATACTCCAATAAAGAGCATTTTACAAGTTCCAGAAGTAAATCTGTAAGAAGACAACTGACAATTTAAGAATACTGAAGTCAGGGAATACCCTATAATTTTCTCAATTTTCACACTTATCTTACACTTTTGAATAGTTTTTAAATAGTGAAAGTAATTATCACAGGATTATAGAAAATGAAAAGGAAAACAAAAGCCATTCATACTCCATAAGCCATTCATAATAATACAATTATATTGTTTTAAGTAGTTCCTTCTAGTCAATGAATTTTGACTACTAATCTTAACAACATTGGTAATGAACCAAAGGATTACAGCTGGTCTCCCCAAATCTGCTCTGCTGGAGAAAGAGGCTTTAAGGGGAGGAATGACAAGTTGCTGAATCAGAAACTAGAGTTCCATTTTTATTATTTTACTTTTTTGGGGGGGGTAGAGTTTAATTTTTAAACTTCAAATTATAATGAAGTTCTCAAAGTACTTATGATAAACATTTATGATTCTAGAAGTTGACAACCATATAATATTAACGTGTAACATCTGAATTTCACCTTCTCAATTTGCTGAACGACCACTGAGGCTATCCTATCAAGTAGTGAAGTACTGAGGTAGTTAGTTCTAGAAATAAAAGATGCAATTCCTGCGACATTTATGTAATTAATTTCATCCATCAAACGCTGTAACGTAGCAACTGTCTCTTCAAGAAGTGTATCAGGAAACCAGTCTCCTTTTAAAGATTTAAGTTCTTCCCATAACAGATTCAAACTGTTGCATTTTTGTAGTCTCTGATGACCATAGTGATCTAATTTTTGAAGTAGTTTCAACTGTTTCCCAGTAGTATTATCCAGATACAAGTGATCATACTGAACACATCTTAAAACATATGTGGCAAAACCATTCAGTTCATTTAAGTCACACTGTGGTAAGACTGCTTCAATCTGAGATATCCTTGCTTCGTCTAGGTGAGGAGAAGGAAGCATGGAAAGAGCACAGACCAGGATGGAAATCTCAGTAGGCATGACACTGACTTTCAAATAACTATAAAGAAAGAGGGAAAAATGAAAAGAACAAAATGAATACATCAGCAGCAAAACCTAAAATATATATAAGTATTAAAATATGAACATATAATTATTATAATGAATAGGTATGACAGGCTTTATATATAAATTAAGAAGAATTAGATAAATTCAAATACATAAAGCACTATTAAGGGAATCCTTAAGATGTTCTAAAGCACATCCTACATTTTTTATGCAAAAATAAAACCACAGTCCTTGATAAACAAAAGGTCAGTGTCAGAACAATGTTTGCAGTGCTGTTGAGGGAGACAGAATTTGGGCTTTCTGATATGACCCGTCAGGAGCTGGTATGACCTAGAACAGGCCCTGGCAAACAGTGACCACTCAGTATTAGTGATTCCCCCCTTAGTTCTACTGTGTAAGCAGTCCAACCTTAAAAAAACAAAAACCCAGATAACACAGGGCATACAACTGACCCCATTCTCTCCTCCTCCTTTCACAAACCCCTGTGGTAAGAGTTCCACCACCAGAATAGCAGTTGTTAAAATACAAATTATAAACTGGGAGCCTTTAAAACATCTCTAGGTTTAGAAGAGTTAATCAAATCTAAATTAAAAGAAAATTGTGTTACTTTTTAAAATATTCAATTAGCATATTAAAATAATGATAATATTCAATGCTAGCAAGGGTACACGGATACCAGTTTTCTCATTCACTAATAGTAAACTTAAAAGTTGGCATAACCTCTCTGGAAAGTAATTTAGCAGTATGGCTTATGAAGTTTAAAAGTAATTATATCACTTGACATGATCAATCTCCGTCTAGGCACAGCGAAAGAGAATGTGACAATGAATGTATGTATGTTCATATCTAACTGAAAAATTGTGCTCTACACTGGAAGTTGACACAACATTGTAAAATGACTATAACTCAATAAAAAAAAGTTAAAAAAAAACTCTGTCTAGGAAACTAACCCAAGAAAATAATCTAAAATGTAGGCAAAGATTTGTGTTATGCCATATTTTTTATGCGGCTAAAATTTGAAAATGATTTGAATACCCCCATGATGAGGAAGAGGTAAGTGAGTTATGGTATGGGTGATACCATGTGATGGGTAATATCCAATCACTAAAAACATTTACAAATAGTTCTAAATGATGTGGGAAAATGCTGTTAGGGTTGTGGGGGAGAATACAAAACTGTATGCTCATGATTCTCAACTATGAAAGAAAAAAAAATACATATATATACACACATATACAGATATACATATATAGACATATATGTAAGCATATACCACAAGGAAATAAACAAAATTATTGACCATAGATGCAAGAGTTTATGAATGATTTTTATTTTCTTCTTTATACTTCTTTCTGTTTTCAAAATGATTTTTTTTTAACATCAGACAGGTCATGTGCCGACATCATAGCTGGTTTGAAGGAGGCACATCACACACTATAGTGTGAACACCCAATCATCATGCCTATGAACCTAAAAAGGACCTCAGAATGATTTCTATATAATTATCTGGCCCACTGCCTGACACAAAGTAGGCACTCAATAAGTACTAAATAAATATTTTAATCTTATGACCACAAAAAATTAATACACTATTTTATATAAAGAAAAGAAAGCCCTAAGGGGGAGAGTATAGCTCAAGTGGTAGAGCACATGCTTAGCATGTGCAAGGTTCTGGGTTCAATCCCCAGCACCTCCATCAAAAATAAATAAATAAGTAAACCTAATTACCTCCCCCAATAAAAAGAAAAAAAGAGAGAGAGAGAGAGAAAGAAAAGAAAACCCCCAAAAGCTGTATCTGTCTGTTTCCAGAAATTGCCCAGTGGATATTCCTACCAACTTCTTAGATAAAATATGAATGCTATATCCATAGAACTGTGGAGAATTTTAAATTATAAAAGGAAAAATCTACATGAAATACTTTTTCACTAACATTACCCCCACGTATTTTATTTTTAAAATTATAAATTTAAAATGTTAAAACAGGCAAGTAAGTAGGCTGAAGGCCCCTTAAGTGTGAGCACTCCAAAATGAAGCTTTGTTTCCATCAGCAGCTCCAGTCTTCTCATGGTTAATCCATTCCTGCAGGAAAGGAGAAAGGCTTGGCTTTGTCTATTCATGCCCTAGGGAACTCATCACCCTACTGGCCTCATTTCCATCTCAAAATATACCAAACATAAGCACTGGCAGAATAGGTATGGTCGAGATAAATGTCTTAACACTATTAATAATTTCTGCTTTCAAAAGTTCCAACAACTCTATACATAATTATACAAAACCAACACTGAGTCAACTAGATTATAAAATGAAAGACTAAACAAACATATCTATTTTAATCTTACCTAAGCAATACTTCTCTGAGTTTCGCAAAAAGCTCCTTACTTTGAAAACGTAGAAAAATCAATGCTTGAGTTATCTTCAATAACTCTACTGGTTTATAGTTGTCCAAATGTTTATGCAGAATTGATGCAATTCTAAAAAGAATAAAACATGTATTATAACCAGTTCATTCATTTATTTATTAAACTTTTACTGAGGAGCTGTTTCATGCCAGACATGCTCTGTGCTGGAGAAACTGTAATAAATGCCACAAGGTTTTCTGTTGTTGAAGAACTGTTTCAAGATGGTGATAGAAATGTAAAACTGACTTAATTTTCTTTCTTAAATCCCCTGGCCTTCTTACGGAGATACTTAAAAGCAATGGGAAATGGTAAGAGGCAATAAGTTAGAGGAATTAGGACAGAAAGAATATTTTTAAAAGGAATATATAATAAATAATAAAAAAGTAAGTAAATATAATCTGAACCATTTTTTTCTTCTTTTATCTCAAGTTAGCAAAAAGTCAATGTATGGTGGTATGATCTCACAGTAATGACTATAGTGTGAAACAATTCAAGTTCACATAGTTGTTAAATGTTCTGCAGTAACTATACTTTTGAAAAGCTGGGTCCTGCCCCATACTCTCCACTTTCCCAGATTATGTTCTGCTTGTGAGTAACAACAGCAGCAAATGAAATGAAAGATGTTGTAGACAATTTTAAAATCTCTATTTTGAAAAACAAATTATTTAGATAATAAATAGCGACTTAAGTGTTAGCTCCCTATTTCTTCAAAATCAACAGCTAGAATATAGAAAAAAACTTAATTTTCCACAGTAAAAAACAGCAACTTATGAATGTCAACTAAAGTTAACACCATGAATTTCAGGAAAGGTTACTTTTTAATCAGACAGGAATTTCTGCTTTCCATCTCCTCCATTGCTCCCATCACTGCCAGGACTTGCTGACTAGTCAGCTCCTCTGACATCAATAATATCGTGGACTTAAGTCTAGAAGCAAAGAAAAATATTATGTTGAAAAAACTGATGATTAGCTTGTGAAATTTTTAAAAAAGTAACAGTTCTCAGGTAAAAAACCAGAAAAGAAATAATATAAACAAAAAGTAAATTCAATATATAGTTCCTATTTTTCCCCACATAATTGGGAATAACATAAAGTATTATTGAATAAAGAAAAATATATTGTTTTCTTCAAAGTAATTAAGGCTTCAGTATAATCTTAGACTATCTCTTAAAAAATACAGATAAAGTGTTTAATTAATGATTTTCAAATAAGACAAGGTCACAATAGTTATAAAATATAATGATTAAATAAAATTATTCAGTAGTAGAGAACTGAGGAACTAACAACTGATATTCCAACAATACCTAAATTTTTGAAAACTGAGTAAGATTTGACCAGGAAATCAATACACCTGTGTATTAGCAGAAATCTTATATACTAAGTACTTGCTGTAATACTATAAAATGAAAATTTACGAAGATGGTCCATTTTGAAACCATCCAAAGTAGCGCAGTACTACAAGTATATGTGTGTCTTTCAGAATAATTTAGAAAGCATGCCAAAACATGAAATCTGAAGGAAGATAAACTAATTTCCTATTCATCCTGAATAGTTCCACACCATACTTTTCACCAACCTTATCAAACACTTCAAACCCAGATTTTTCCCATAGCTTTTCTCAACCATTTTAGTCAATATTTTTCTCACTTTTCTGTCTGCCTACTGCAATTACTATCTATAGTACTAATTTTAGTACCTACTCATTAACTGTGTTAAAGTGTCATGGCATTTACATACTTCAATTACATATTTCTATCCTTCCAAATGAAATATAAATTCTTTGAAGGCAGGGACTCAGTCAAATTCAATTTCTGTACTGTCTTAGCATAAGAGATTTTAACAGTACTTGGTGACAAAAAAAGAGAGAAAGATTCCAATAAAGTCCTTATAATAATCTTGTTCCCATCTTGATGTAGTCTCTTAAAATATACCCTTAAATTTCTTCATATAATTCAAAAGACTCTTAAAAATAAAACTCATTATGAAGTTTTCGCTAACAGAGTAATGATGCAGATACCTCCATTCTGCAACTCCTGGAACCCAAGCTTAACCGAATTTAGTATCATAATTATCTGTTTGCTTATACCTAGTAATCATGTATTAATTTAAAATGTACTCATTGTTACACAGTCCAAATATTTCCAACTATCAATATCTGGTGAAACTGGAAATCCTTAAAATATAGGAAACAGATCAAGATCACTGAAACCTGACAATGGAAACATATACCAATGCGCATAATAAATGCTTCTGATGATGAATATGAAGACACCAAAGCATAAATGGTCCACTGTTAGGACTACTAGAATTCTGAATAGTCCACACTCCATACTGGGGGTTGGGCAGTCTTTTCTCTCTGTGTAAAGCCAGTCCTGTGGCCTAAAGAAGAGAGAATCATAGCACTTAAATGGTGTTCTCCCTCATCCACTGCTGTGCTGGCCAAGATTATTGGCCCTCATTGAGAACACACTGGGAGACTAATGAGTTTGAGACGTAAATTAGAATAATCATAGAAGGAATCAAGGAGCAGGGCAAAAGCGAACGTTCTCCCTTCCACAGTTCAGTGGAGTGACTTTTCTGCCTTTGAGAACTGCAAGGAGATCTAAGCTTGAAGTTTCCATATATTCTCAACAAGAAAAGTAAAAAGCATTTTTAGCTGAACTTACTGTTTCTTTTCTTCAGGTCCTGCCATGGGTCCCAATGCTACAAACAACTTTGCAAAGCTAGCAGGGTGATTAAACAGAGGAATCATTTCTGTTAGTCTCTTTTTAGCCATTAAAATAAATTCGAAACTATGAAATTGTAGAGAGTGGTATAGACTAAGTATTTTACTGATGGAGTCCAAATCAAGGTGGTTCACATTGCTTAAAAATACTTTATTGCACCTTTCTAATAATGGGTAATAACTATATTTAATATTTCGAAGAAACTGTACTATTCTTCTTGCAATGTTGACCTGGGAAGAATCTATGGTGTCAAAAAGAAGTTCTGTTTTGTTCACTAATTGTTCTTGAAAATGCTGTGATATTAAAGAAGATATGCTGACCATCAAAACAGACAAGGACCTGAAAAAGGAAAAAGATGCAACGATTTTTACATTATCTAAGAATAATAAACAATTTTAAGACTAAATGATTAGAAATGGCAAATAACTGGTAACAATATTATGGGTTTTATACCACAAAATTTTTCTTTTAAATACTAGTGAAACTTGAACTCAAATCTCTTAGTAATTAAACCCTTTTAGACAAAAAAAGCATTGAAATAGTATTTTTTATTGAGTGTATATAATATTCTATAGATGAATGCTCTGAAGGAATAAATTTTAGCAAACTTTACTCAGAAATCACTCTGGGCCAACAGCCCATGAATAGAAGATGAAAAGTCTCATTTCATATTTTTGGAAGTAGACTTTGCTTTACTACTCTGTGTATCTGTAATTTACTAATAAAAATCTTGGCAAAATATTTCTCACCAGTGAGTGATTTCATGTTTTTTAATGTTTCACGCTAGATTGATAAGACAATACTGAACATGAGGTAGCATTTAATATTCCTTCATTCAATAAATACTTTTAAAGAACAGAAATCAACCTTCTAGGCATTATAGAAGACATGAAAATTACAAAAATGAGGTCTCTGCTTTCAAAAGACAGTTCTCACATGATACAACAATCAAAAAACTTTAAAGACAATATACCTAACAATGAATAAAGAATGCAAAATGGAAAACATACATAACAATCACCTGGGGATGGTAATTATAAAACAATCTACAAAAAAGACATAAAAATGTAAACCTAAAACTATCTCAACTATTAGGATAGTGGGATCATTTGCATTTTTTTGTTTCAAAGTTTTTTCAATATTTTCAATTAAACAAATTATTCTTTTAAAAACCCAGTTGTACAATATTTTGACTTCTCTAATCAAATGTTTAATGTTAACATCAATTAACATCAATTAGTAACTTAACACTGCTATTTATTTTAACCGTAAAACTCTGTGATATGATTTTTTAATTGTATATATATTTGTAATTGCAGTTCAGAATGAGGAAATGTCCAAAGATTTCATTAGATGCTCAAATGGGTCTATAAGAATTTTTTAAAGTTAAAAAATGTACTTTACAGTGATTTAAAAAAATTTTTTTTTGTTTTTTTCCTGGGGGGAAGGTAATTAGCCTTATTTATTTTTTAGAGGCAGTACTGGGGATTGAACCCAGGACTTCATGCATAATAAGCATGTGTTCTACCACTTGAGCTATCCCCTTCTCCCTTCTATTTTATGATTTTTTTTAGGTTTATTTATTTATTTATTTATTTATTTACTTTTAGAAGAGGTACTGGGGATTGAACCCAGGACCTCAGGCATGCTAAGCATGCGCTCTACCACTTGAGCTATCCCTTCCCCCTCTACAGTGATTTTTATTGTCTCTGCTTTTATATGCTACTTTCATTTGTGTGTGAAATATATAACATAAAATTTACCATTTTGAACATTTTTAAGTGTACAGTTAAGTACATTGACACTGTTGTACAACCATAACCCACAGAATTTTTTCATCTTCTCAAAATAAAACCTCTTACCCACTAAACAATAACTCCCCATTTTCCCCTTCCCCCAACCCCTGGCAACAATCGTTCTACTTTGTTTCTATGAATGTGACTACTCTAGGTACCTCATATAAAGTGGAATAATACAGTATTTGTCCTTTTGTGTCTGGTTTATTTCATTTAGCATATGTTCAAGGTTTATCCATCTTGTAGTATATGTCAGAATTTCCTCCTTTTTAAGGCTGAATGATATTCCATTGTAGGTATATATCAAATTTTGAATGTCTATTCATCTGTCAATGGACATTGTAGGTTGCTTCCACCCTTGGCTATTGTGATTAATGTTGCTATGAACATCGGTGTATGGTAGACTGAACTGTGTTCCCCCCAAGTTCATATGTGAAAGCCCTAGAAGCAACGTAACTGTACTTAAGACAGGGCTTTTACAGAGGTAATTAAGGTTAAATGAGGTTTTAAGGATGGCAGGTAAACACATGAGCTTGTAAGTGAGGAAAAAATCACAGATCTTAATGACACTGCATTATGCTTTATACATTTCACCTTAATTCCCATAGCAACATTGCACAGTAGACACCACTATCCTTATTTTACAGGTAAGGACAGTGAACTTCCAAGAGATTAAAGTCACATAGTTAGGGAGTAGCAAGTCTAAGTATGTGTGCATCCAAAGCCCAGACTCTGTACACCATAACACAAGACCCCTAAATAAATTTACCTTAAGTCCTGTATGGTTTCCAAGTTCCTATTTACAATATCAGCTATTTCTCCCATTAATGGACTAAAATATAAATGTTGATTTGCCAGGCAAGAGGAAAATTTTGATAGCACATTAATATCAAACCTATTAAGGGAAATATACAAAGTGGATCATTACTATTTATTTTCACTTAAAACATAATACAAAGTTAGAAAGTAAAAAGCAATAAAAACACTAATATATTACTAATATAAAATAAAATTTTCTAAAACATCGATTATTATTATTATAAAAGCAACCCATGCTAAGTATTAAAAAGCCAAATTCTACTGAAAGGTTTTCAAATGGGAAAAATCACTCAAAATTACTTGAATCATTTACTTATTAATTTTTTGAGGTGACAAAACAATTTCAATTCAAGGCTGTGTATTAATAAATAAAACAACCACTAGTACAACTGTGCTATGAAAAACTTCAGAATTTTTCCATAGGGGAAAAATGACCCAATATCTTCAACAAGTAAATGGTAAGACAAAAGAGAAAGGAGAATTGTTATCGATTTTAAAGACTTTGAATTCTCTAAAAGACAAGCATAACGAATTTCACAGCAGCACATATAATAGCAAAAAAAAAAATGCTAAATATCAACAATCTCAATGTCCATTAAGAGTACAATGAATAAATTGCACATACCCCTAGAATACCACACAGCAATAAAAAAGAACAAATTGTGCAATACCATGGATGAATCTTTAAAACATGTTGAGCCAAATAAACTAGATACTAGATAGATTCCTAATATAGGATTCCATTTCTATAAAAACAAAACTAACTTATGATGTTAGAAGTCAAGAGTGAAGGGTAGAGCACATGCTCAGCACCCAAGAGGTCAGGGGTTCAATCCCCAGTAACTCCTCCAAGCGAAAATCAATGAAGAAACCTAATTAACTCCCCCTCATAAAACAAACAATACACAAAGCCAAGATAGTGGTCACTTAGGGTGGGGTGGTGGGGAGTGACAGGAAGAGAATATGAAAAGAACTTCTGGGAAAATTCTGATATTCTGTGTCCTGATCTTGGTGCTATTACACAGTGTAAGTATATTTTCAGTATGTGAAAATACATCAAGATGTATATTTATGATTGGTATAACTGTGTATGATTTTTTAATAAAATGATTACTTAGAAAAAGAGAGAAACTGGAAACATGGCAAGCAAATGTAATGTGTGAACCTTGTCTGTATACTTATTTAAAACAAACTGCCTTAGACTGGATAATAAAGCAAGAACCTTCAATATGCTGCATACAAGAGACCCACTTTAGTGAGATTAGGACAGATTGAGAGAGAAAGGATGGAAAAGGATATTCCATGCAAATGGAAAAGCCAAAAAAGCAGGTGTAGCAGTACTGATTTCAGACAAAATAGACTTTAAAACAAAGGCCATAAAGAAAGATAAAGAAGGACATTTTATAATGATTAAAGGAGTGACACAAGATAAGAGTATTACACTCACTTATATATATACATCCAATATAGGAGCACCAAAGTACATAAAACAATTACTAACAGAGATAGTTGGAGATTTTAACACCACATTAACATCACTAGACAGATCTTCCAGACAGAAAATAAATAAGGCAACAGAAAAATTAAATAATACAATAGAAAAATTAGACTTGGTGGATATTTACAGAGCATTACACTCCTCCAAAAAAGGATATACATTCTTTTCAAGTGCACATGGAACATTTTCCAGGATCGATCATGTACTTGGGCACAAAAGAAACCTCAACAATTTTACGAAGATAGAAATTATCTCAAGCATCTTTACCAACCACAATGCCATGAAACTAGAAATTAACAACAGAGAAACAAAGGAGAAAAAAAGGAAAGCATGGAGATTAAACAATATGCTATTAAAAAACCAATGGGTCAATGAGGAAATCAAAGCTGAAATTAAAAAATACCTTGAGACAAATGAAAATGAAAGCACAACCACACAAAGTTTATGGGACACAGCAAAGGCAGTGCTAAGAGGGAAGTTTATAGCGATACAGGCCTTCCTCAAAAAAGAAGAGCAATCTCAAATAAACAATTTAACCCACCAGCTGAAAGAACCAGAAAAAGAAGAAAAAAAAACCCCAAAAGGCAGCAGAAGGAAGGAAATTATAAAGATTAGGGAGGAAATAAATAAAATAGAGATTTAAAAAAATCTAGAAAAAAATCAATCAAACCAAAAGCTGGTTTTTTGAAAAAGTAAATAAAATCAACAAACCTCTGGCCAAACTCACAAAGAAGAAAAAAGAGAGAGCACAAATTAGCAAAATAAGAAAGGAAAATGGAGAAATTACAACAAATAACATAGAAATATAGAATATCATACGAAAATATTATGAAAAACTATATGGAACCAAACTGGATGGCCTAGAGGAGATGGACAAGTTTCTGGAAACATACTGTCCACTAAGACTGAATCAAGAAGAAACTGACCACTTGAACAAACCGATCACTAGAAATGAAATCGAAATAGCAATAAAAAACCTCCCTACAAATAAAAGTCCAGGAGCGGATGGCTTCACCAGGGAATTCTACCAAACATACAAAGAAGAACTCATACCAGTCCTTCTCAAACTCTTTCAAAAGACTGAAAAGGAGGGAATACTCCCAAACTCGTTCTATGAAGCCATATCACCCTGATACCAAAACCAGGCAAAGACACTACCAAAAGAGAATTATAGGCCAATATCACTGATGAATATAGGTGCCAAAATCCTCACCAAAATATTAGCAAATAGAATCCAACAACACATAAAAAAGATTATACATCATGACCAAGTGGGGTTCATCCCAGGGACACAAGGCTGGTTCAACATACGGAAATCAATCAATGTAATACATCACATCAACAAGAGAAAGGACAAAAACCACATGATCATCTCAACAGATGCAGAAAAACCATTTGATAAAATTTAACACCTATTTATGATAAAAACTCTCACCAAGTGGGCATAGAGGGAACATATCTCAACATAATAAAAGCTATATATGACAAACCTACAGCCAGCATAGTTCTCAACAGTGAAAAACTCAAAATCTTCCTACTAAAATCTGGGACAAGACAAGGATGCCCACTATCACCACTCCTACTCAACACAGCCTTGGAAGTCCTAGCCACAGCAATCAGGCAAGAGAGAAATAAAAGGGATCCAATTGGAAAAGAAGAGGTAAAAGTGTCACTATACGCTGATGACATGTTAGTATGTATAGAAAACCCTAAAAGGTCCACATAAAAACTACTAGAGCTGATTGAAGAATTCAGCAAGGTAGCAGGTTACAAGATTAACATTC